TTATATGGTTATATTCGCTGAACTAATAACTTTCCATTTCGCAGCTTCTTGCACGCCTCTCGCTCCTGTTGAACCTTGAAGAAGCGGTCCAGCAAGCGGTCCGCCAGCCGTTGGCTACGTGCTGCTATCTTTGTTGGCAATCCGAGCCAATTGCTTGCATATTGCCAAACAAATTGTTGGGATAATTTGGTTCCTCTGCATAATTTGGTTCCTCTGTCGCCTGTCGCCGCCGCTGCTGCTGCCGTTTGGCAACTTTTTAATTGCAGTCTCATAAGCTTAGTGCAGTCGAATATCAAAAGCTTTGCCGTCGGTTCCGAATGCTGCCAGCAATTGCTGGCCACGACAAAAGTTTTGCTTTGATACAGATCCCATGCATGCCCAACTAGTTCCCAGCATTCCCTCTATGTGAGTGAGTGGAGGGGGGAGGGAGGAGGGGCGTGCATTAAAGGCATGCTTTAAGCATATATGAGACATCTACATATGTATGTATGTCGCCCATCACATGGATACATGCGTCAGGTATGGATGTTTTGCTGTTGTTGTTGTTGTTGTTGTTGTTGTGTTTTGTTGAATGCTTAGGTTTGGTTTCCTGGAAAAGTCATAAAAGCGTACAAAAGCAACTGGCAAAGAAATGCCAAGCCAAACAATACAATTTGTTACCAATTAAATGACTGCATTACATAATAATAATAATAATAACAGCAACAACAACAACAACAACGAGAAGAATGAGAACCGCCTGAAGTGGCAGCTGCTGCTGCTAACCCCCGCCAGCAGCCATTACGACTGAATTGAGTGACAGACAGGGCAACTGTTCTTATTCTACCCTATTGTTAGGCATTTAATAGGGTATCATATTTTGAGAATTTGATATGTTGTATTTGTATTAAGCAAGTTTGTCTTACATAATTGCTTAGATAATAAGATAAGAGATTAGGCCGAAGGCTTACGACATGCCAACCCGGCGTATGAAAACAGATTTTTGCAGTCGTATATCATTTATCACAAGGCTAGCTTCAATGAAAATTCCAATGATCTATAAGGGTTTTTTAGATTTTTAATAAATTAGTTTTTCTCACTGTCATTCAAGAAAAAGTTTTGTTATGAGAGAGACATGATTTAGTCTGTGAAGCATAGCAAAGAAGTGAAGGGGCTGGATGGCAATTTTACATGAAGTCCTCAACAAAACTGATCTCAGATTGGGAGTTAACACATTAAAATCCTTCAATTAATATTCATAACCTTTCTTCAGATTTAATATAGCACCTATATTTTCCAGATTTAAAAGCCGAATTGTTCTAGCCATTTCAGTCGGCCATGCATAAAGGTGAGAGACTTTACATAGGTATATAATATATATATGCTATATATCTATTTGTATATATAACACTTGTATTCATTAAATGTCCCCAGAAATATCAAACATTTATTCTTCTAAAACGCACATAGGGTAAGCTTCAGCTTATATGCAACATCTCATATCAATCCTGTATTATGAACCTCTTTTCCTTAAGCAATAACATTATGACAAGAATATAAATATATAGACAAGCTAAACTACACAAAGCTTCTGCCAATTTCATCATCATATTCAGGGTATTCATCCAGTCGAGCACACTCAATCAAATCATATTTACTTGCTCCAATTGCTGTTGTTGTTCTTGCTGCTATTACGCTTGGCGTCAACGAAGCCAGATAAGTGTGTGTTTGTGTTAGTGTGTGTGGGTGTGGATGGCTGTGTTAGTGTGTGTGTGTTATGGGCATACGTAAGCATACAGCATCCCCGGATCCGGGCAACGCATATTGGTTGTCAAAGTAACCGAATCAATGGCATACAACACAGGACACGCTCAAGGACTCTTTGGGGCAACATCTTTTTATTATTGGCAGGTGAGCGCTAAAAAAAAAACACACAACAACAAAAACAAAGCAAAGGAAAATTTTATATTACTTCATTATGTGTTATGCTTTTTGATTTGATACCTTAATTTGCTCCATTCCCATACCCATCCCGATCCCCATTCTCATACCCATCCCCATCCCAGCTTCAGCTTCAGCTCCAGGTATTTTCATAAATTGAATATCCCCATTCATTAGCAAAATTAGCAGCAGAATTTCAATATGCGACCCAGCAGCAATTAAAATAGAATCAAACGCAAATTTATTTATATCAAAATATATATATAAATGTTTATTAGCAATATTCATATGTGTAGGGTGTGTCTGTGTTTGTGTGTGCTGCAATTAAATTTATAAATTGCAAACAATTTATTCATTTGTGATTTATGTTTATTCTTGTTTTATTGACTCTCTCTCTCTCTCTCTCTCTCTCTTTCTTTAATAATTACCAACATTATTACGAAAGGCCAAAATCATTTCACCAAAAGTTATACAAATACTTTTTCCAAAATTTCCTCCATTTTCCCTATTATTTGTTTTCCTTCTGTTATTTTTCACACACACATTACATACATGCTCAGACAGGGGGAGGGCAGGGCTTACGATTTCTATGCACAATTATTGTTTTTTTTTTTTTTTTTTCATTTTCGTTCTATTTCATATTATTCAATTTATTTATATTCATCAATTTAGTTCAGTTCTCTATGCTACAATTTTGTGGCTCAATTCAAAACTATTTGTGTATTTAATTATTAAGTTGTGTACTTACTTGTTTGTGTGTGTGTGTGTGTGTGTATATATGTGTAATTGTTTAGTGTGCGGTCCATCAATATGTGCTTATGCCTTAAAGTAGACAAAAATCAGCTTAAGCTTTGAAGTTTTCAAACGTCTGGCAACGCCAGAACAGAATTGGCCTCTTGAATAAGTTGCGCTTGAATTTCTTTATGCTGAATTGATACATTTATTAGAGTGATCTATGATATATAGAGTCACAGCTGATATATAGAGAGTTCAGCTATCAGCTATCTGGCAACGCTAAAAAGCTTAAATGGATTTTTTAGATTAATCCTAAATCCTGACTGACAACTCCTGGCAATAGTATGTAATGGATTTATCATGTCATCAATTTATAAATCCGACTGTTTTTCACATCTTGATTACTTTATCGACTTAGTCTGGCAACGCCAACAAGCTGTTAGCTGTATAAGATCTGAAATAGCTCAATCTAAACGATTTTACACAGTAAAAACGATTGAGTCTTAAATTTATCAAACATCTGGCAGGATAAACAATTAGCAGCGCCTGATTCCGTTTTAAAAATACTAAATTCTTCAATATTTCATTAGTTTGTCGGATTTCTGGCAGTGCTTAAAATAAATAAAAATTATGTATCTTTGGCATTTTTTATTCAAAATAAATTGATACCGTTATTGTTGTGTAAATGTGTGTTGTTGTTGTTGTTGTTGTTACAAAATACAGTGTAAATATTTGTTTTAGGCTTAATGAGCTTATACAATTTACTCAATTTAGTACACATTAACGTACATAGGCTATATGCTATATATGTATGCTTAATTTAATAGGCTTTACGCCGCATTGCGGTCGCATTTTCATACAATTTTCATTTTCCTTCTCTTTTCATTTGTTCTTTAAGTAATTTTGTCAAATTCTTATAAAGTTATTTTTTTGTGTTACAGAGAAATTATTGCTCTAACTTACAAAGTTGACGATCTCGTATATAAAATCAATGGACATACTCGCTGCATAGTTCCAATACGCAGGATTCTTTCTCTTTTAGTACAATTCAAATGTTTCATTCTCAAGTTAATATTAGGTTTAAGTATATATATGTGTATATATATATAAATATCGTGTATATTCTAATCATATAGGGATTTTATAAAATCATTTAATAACTAAGGGGGTTCGAGGAGGGCTACTTTAAGTAATGATTTGATATAATTATAATTAGTGTGTGTTGTGTGTGTGTGTGTTTGTTTGTTTGTTGTTTACTTTGTGGTCGTTTCTTGGATATGATTTGGTGGTATAGAGGAAGCACTTGTGGGGCAACTATATAGGAATTCGGATCATGTACTATTATTTTTTTGATTTCTTGGTTTTTTTTTTGTAAATGAGTTGAGTGAACATTCATTCATTCACTATTCAAATTGGCAGCTGTATCGAGTAAGCATTATAAAAACGTTTGCTTCTTATAAACTAAATGCATGTGAAGCTAAGTGCCCCTTTCCACTCAAATGACTGTAGGTACTGAAGGGCGTGGCCAATTAATGATATAAATGATATGACATAATACTAGGCAACCAACCATTTCAAGCTCCAGAACATGGCTCGAATGTTGGCGCCGAAGGAAATTTCGAATTGGCCCCCAGGCAGCGGCCAGTCTTTGTTAAGACTTTGAATGTGAGCGGACGGCACTGGCCTAAGCTAGAATCGAAAACAATTTGACTTGAAAGAACTCAAGCCGAACGTCTTCTGTTAGCTGCTCAAGGAACATATTTCATATAACAAGCACATACAAACGAGTCGAGGTTTGTGGCAAGGGGCAAAAATGCGGCTGGCCGCAGTTACAAATAAATTCTAAATGCTATTCTATAAAAAAGGTTTGTGTTTTTCAAGCTCTCTCGCTTGTTTACCAAAATGAGTGTGTGTATGAGTGTGTGTGTGTGTGTGTATACATATAAGTTAAGGTACATACTAGATAAATTATATGCAGCATAGTGATTTCTTGTTTAAATGTTAAATTTTTTAGTTTTTAGCTTAATTTGTTAGCCAAGAGTCGCATATTGAAATCGTTAATTGATTGTTTAACAGTTGTGTCCATACTTAATACCGTTGTTTTTCATGTTAAATATATTATCATTAATGTGGGCGGGGGGTCGAGTTGCACCTCAATTCAAATTTAGAACAACTTTTGAGTTAACGTTGATTGATAATGTTGACATCGAGGGTGCGAAAGATTTCTTTGATTAAGATTGTAAATTGTAATCTGATTTTTTTTAGTTTTTCTTTTCTTTTCGTTTCTGTTTTTTTTTTTTTTTTTTTTTTTGTTAAGAGTTGATTATTGTTGTTAATAGTGATTATTGTTGTTGTTGCTGCTTTTATTGTTGCTGATGTTGCTGCTGCCGTTTCCCTCATTTATGGCGAAACATATGGCGGTGGCTTGCGGTAGGAGGGCGTTGCCGGTGATTTCCCTCGCACCTCGCGTCCACCGAGCACCACAGCCGGCGGTGGCACATACTCATCCACATCGTTGTCGCCATTCATGTTGGAGGTATTGTACGAGGGCGGCAACAGCGGCGGCTTCTCGTCCTTAAGTATAACAGGGCTCTTATTGCCTATTTCGGGCTTCTCCTCGAGCTCGTCCTGAAAGATGACGGGTATGCCCTTGGTGCGGAACGACTTGCGTTCCTCCTCATCGCCTGCAATGATATAAATATTATATCAATCTAGACAAAGATATTATATTTGATTTCACAACTAACCTAATTCCATTTTGCCGCTCTTATGACGGCGTCTATGCAAACAGCAGGCTATGATGGAGGCCAGCAGAACCATGACCACAATAATAACGGCGGGCAATATAAATGTGGCTAGATATTCCTGTGGGAAGCTGGGCTTCAGACTCGGCTCCTTGTTGCGCGGTGGAATATACTCGTGCTGGGTAATGTCGCTATTCTCCGAATCTAAAAATAGACAGAAAATATTATTTAATAATATGGTCCATGGAATTCCTAGCATTCTCTTTCACTTACGATGGCATGCGGCAGAGGGCACAACCGTAAAGTTGGTTAGATTCAGCTCCGGCCCCAATGCCTTCTTGACACTGGCACTTGGCATCATGTCGCTGTTCAGATAGATGCTGCGCGTGGCAGCCATTTCGGCGTCGGGACAGCGATTGTGCGTCTTGTACAGTGAGGCATTGTAGAAGTTGACAATTGTGCCGTCGGAGTCGTGGTGCGTGGTAATCGAGCGCACAACAATCTGATTGGTGTTGGCATCGCCATGCAGCCTCGCAATGCGCTCCACAAATTTACGCTGCAGCTCCGCATTGAAGTTCTCGTGGCGTATGGCCAGGTATGCCTTATAGAGTATGGCGTACTCCCTTTTGGGCATGTTATTGACGACGACAACGAGCGCATCGTTGGCAGTGAGGCCGCCGCTGTCCTCGGCAACGAGCAGGTACTCCTCGGAGCCCAAGTCGCCGCCCTTGGGTATGCCATAGAACTCCTGATTCTTGGAGTCGAACTGCAGCCAGTAGCGTGTGCTCAGCTCTTTGTGGTCCTTCGTCTTCAGCGAGAGCGTTAGCTCGTTATCATTCGGATCGTAGAAGGTATCGCTGGGCACCTTATACACGAGCAGCTGGCCAACGGAGGCATTCACTCGATCCACCTGGTTGCGCGGCATCGGCGGCAAGTTCTTGGCCATATGAGTGGTGGGCTTTATCTTGGTTAACTCTGTCTTCTGGCAAGTGCCAATGAGCTGACCCGTTATGGACTTGATGCTCAGCAATGGCTGCAACAGATCATTCAAACGCTGCACGTCCAGGCGACGCACCAGCTCATTCAACTCCGCCTCGGGGCATTCACTGGTGGGCAGCGTCTCATTGAAGTACACAAACACTGCGCTCTGCGGCTCCTGCAGGGTCTGCCGTATCTCGCGCACCACCAGCGCCGAGCTGCCGCCATCCTCCAGCGTGTGGGCAACAGCCCTGATCAGCTTCAGCTGCCAGTCAATGTTGTTGCCATGCTTCTCATTGATGCGCACAGCGATGCTGATCTCGTGATTGATGGTGCGCACCGCCCGATGCTGTTGCACGCTAATCTCCACAGTTTCCGTAACGCTGGAATTGCCGGAATCGGTAGCCGAGAGACGATACTGCCAACGCGACACGGTGTCATCCAATGGGCTGTGAGTAGATGAATCAAGTTAATTTCTGAACTAACCCATTTAGGTATTTATATGCGCCACTTACATGCCGTAGAGTTCACGTTTATCCGCATTGAATTGCAGCCAGGATGTGGGCTTCAGCTCGTGGCCATCCTTATCGGTCAGCTCCAGGCGCAGATTGGTCTGATCCTCGGCATCGTAGAACGTTTCCTCGGGCACAATAAAACTGAATGCCTTGCCGGACGTCACGGCCAGCTTCTGCAGGCGCATTTTAATGATCGGCACACTGTTCTCCTGCCGTGGCTCCACATAATCCGTGGAGGCCTCCGTCGAGGTGCTCACCGCCTCCAGCTGCGGCTGTCGTGTCGTCGCTGCTGTTGCCAGCTGTAAAAGGAATTCAGTTTAGTCACGGTTTCATATAGTCAGTGTCACATGCTTGACTCACCTCATTGCTAGCCAGATTGGGCACGCTGCTATTGCTGGCGGCTTCGAGTGCGTCCACAGCATCCGCTGCCTGAGAATTACAAAGAACTCATGAAATGACTTACGAACTGGCTAATTAATGCGACGCATCTTCTCATTTCTCAGATGTTGCATGCTCGTTCATGATATGCTAAACAGCTTGGAGTTTGGATGTTCGTTAAAGATATAGCTAAGTTAGGTTATTAGGGTATAAGTACTCGGTAAATTCGTTTAGTATAGAACTCTAGAAAATTTAGAATGTAAATTGTCTACTGAAATTTCTTTTCAATATCAGTTTCAGACTCAGAAATATGAAAACTAATATTTCTATATTTTTTTTAAATTTTTCAAAAACTGTTTTCCATACCATGAACGAGTATTGCTTAGTCATTTAAAGCCGACTGCAAAACATTGCATTTTTGGTTTTTTCTTTAGTGTCATGCTTGAATATTGTTGAGAGCAGGCAAAGTTTATTAGTGTTGCAACTATGGAGGGTGCCAGAGACACAGATAGAGATACAGATACAGATACAAATAGAGACACAAATAGAGATACAGATACATAGATACATATACATAGCTAAAGATACATAAAGTGACATGCAATACCATGCGAGGAGAATAAACGCGCTGCTAATCAGCGCTGATTGGCATCCCATTTGAAAAGGATAAGTGCATTAGACGTAAACGTTGAAATCCCTTAATTGGCTTAACTAGTTGCCTTGGCTAGGGGGGAGGCTGGGCTACTGGGCTGCGTGGGCATGGTGGGGCATGTTGGGCTGGGGAGATTGGTGGGAGTTTTGTGCAGCATATTATAGATATAAATTCATAGATATATATATATGTATATATAGGAGAAATATATACTACTTTGATGCATAGCAGCACACAAAGTCTGTGCGCGTGGACTGAAGTAGTTCACCTTAGGGCTAATCGAAAGCGTGCTGTGCGTCGTGGTGGCCAATTCGAGCAACTCGATCTCGGCCAGCGTTGTACGCGGCGTTGTGGTGGCAGCCACATCCCCATCCGCATCCGCATCAGCCACATCCGTTGTAGTCAGCCAGGTGCTTGGCTCAAGCACATTTGCATTTGTCTGCAGTTTGCATTTGGTTTTTTCAATTTTCCATTTTTTTTTTTTTTTTTGTACATCAAAACAAAAATTCATGAGATAAACATGAGATAACAGAACAAAAATCAAAGGGGCAGCATATCAAATGGGGCCAGATCTGATATGTCATGAAATTTCAGAGAAAATATAGTCAGAGGACATATGAAGCGAAGCATTACTGAGAAATATTGCAAATTGATGCAATGAAATATTAGAACTGTTCTATCTTGATTTCTAGGAATACAAAATATCGAAAATATATTTTAAATATATTGAAAATATATTGAAAATTTGTTTACTTCATCATAAACATCTCTAAGATCTATTGAGGGCTTTTCCCATTTCTATTTGAGTGCAAATAGTTAGTAAAGTTAAGAGCCATAAACACGGTTAGACAATTAGATTGAGAGCCTTATGAAACCTTAACCAACACCCTTTATAATACATATATATTTATATACAAAAATAAAATCAAGTTAAAAATATATAACTAAAAATATAACTTAAACTAAATATACTTTATCACAAAAATAAACTAAAATATAAATATAATAAAATAATAATATCTAGTTATTCATAATTTATTTGATTGTGTCTAGACCCTAATAGCCCTTTGGCCCACTGGGCGCACATGTTTAGGGCCATAAAGCACAATTCGCTATAGCTAAAAGTTGAACAAAGTACTTAAGTTTATATTGACGCTATGGGTATTATTATTATTATTATTTGAGGTTAGATCGGCGGCGAAGTTGTACAACATCAGGATTATAACAATTATACAACACAAACAACACGTGTATATATGACACTTGTACACAGATACATATTATATGGATATACATATATATATATATAGTTTGTTTCGGCTCTGACTGAGGGACGACGGCGACGTAGACAGACAAAACAGGCGACAAATACAGATACAAAGATACATAAAAGGCTAAACAACAGTTACAATTGTCGCACAACGAGAGACATAGTGAGTGTGAGAGCGACACACAGAGAGAGAGAGAGAGAGACAGAGATACACACACACACGCACGCACTCACACTCACTTAGACACACACACACACACAGACAAAAGCGACATTACCTTTGGCGTTTGTGATTGTGTTGTAGTTGTTGTTGTTGCTGTTGTTGTTGTTGTTGTTGGCATAGTTGCAATTGTTGTTGATGATGACGATGATGAAGTTGTGGGGTACGATGATGAAGGTGTTGATGACGATGATGATGATAACGAAGTTTCGGTTGTTGTTATTGTTGTGAGAGTATTAGCCATATCAAAGTCTATGACACTTGCTGTGCTCGACGAAACTGAGGTGGAGGTTATGATGACAGGAGCAACAGGATTGCTGCCGGTGCTGCTGCTGGGGGCAGACGATTCGACAGTTTCAATTGTGGCTGCAATCGCTGGGGATGAGGATGTGTAAAGGTTGGACTGGGACATGGTGGAGCTGGCATCGTATGGTGAAAATGATTCAGACGGTTGGGGATGAGCGGACGACGACGCTGGCAGAGAGGTGCCTGGTGTAGCAGGTGTTAAGTTATTGTTGTTGATGTTCATGTTGTTGTTGTTGTTGTTGTTGTTGTTGTTGTTGTGGTTAGTGGTCGTTTGTGAGGTGCTCGTTGCAGTGTGCTCAGCTACATCAACAGCGTTGGCCGCAGTGTCAACCTGGTTGTTGTTGTTGTTGTTGTCGGCAGCATCTTCAGCTGCAACGTTTACCGTTGCCATGGAGCTGCTGCCAGCTGTAGCGGTTGTGGTTAATGGCAGCTCCTGCTCCTGCTCCAGCTGCTGCTCGACGATGCTCGGCTTGAGTTCCAGCTCATTGCCAAGCTCATTTTCAGGCTCCACAATCACCGGCGCGGCGGGTACGCCCAGCTGCTGCGTCTGGGAGCCCAGCTGTGGCAGCTCAACTTCCTCAACGTCATCGACCTCATCGTCGACACTGAGCACCGGATCCTTAATATTTTTCGTGTTCTCAATGGTCTTGCTAATGACCGACTCCAATTTGGAGACGCTCTCTTCGATTTCCTCGTCCAATTTGTTCGCGGGCAACGATGAAGCCGACGATGTAGAGACGGAGCCAGCGTTCTCCTCTTGCTCCGACTGCAGTTGCTCGTTCAGGGATTAGTTGTGTATGGATGGTTGTTGTTCGGGTTGTTATTGTTGTTGTAGTTGTTGTTGGAGTTGTTAGTTAGTTTATGAATAATTAACATTCATATATTGCAATGGTAGTAACAGTAAGTAAATGAGCACAGCGAGAGAGAGAGAGAGAGAGAAAGAAAGATAATGTAAATGTCAAAAAAAGAGAGAGAGAGAAGAAAAGACGAGAACACCATATGATGAATTACATATACACAATGTTAAAGAATCGTTTCATCAAATTCAATGATACTTAAGTATAAATATATATATATATACTGAATATATATATATATTAGATATATTTATATATATGTGAGTATTTTGTGAACTTGTGTGGTTGTTGTGTGTCGTGTCATTTGCAGTTATCAACAAAGTGCAGTAACAAACATAATTATGATCTTCCGTAACAGTTGATACTTAAACGTATTGGTCTGTATAGTCGTAGTATTTTTAATTTGATATACAGTAATTTAGTTACACATTATCCAACCAACAGTAAAAACCTCAGAATATCGGAAAACACCACAAAAAGATAATCAAAACCAAATAATAGCCTAAGAGAGAACACTTCTTAAATTCAATGACAACACTCACCACGCCATGGTGATGTCGATGTGCATGCGATGTGGGCAAAACCGTAACCAGTTCACTGAAAAATATATATATATAATTACATTTAGCAATTCGCTATTTACTTTTGATTGATAACACTTACGGCGTCTGCTCCTCGTCATCCTCTCCATAGTCATAGTCTTCTTCAAGGCCGCTACCCTCTGCATCACTGCGCTTACGCCGCGATCTGCAAATACAAACCACAAATGAATCAGTTAGTGAGTCAACAGAGTTTTGTAAATATAGATAATAATAGAAATATATATACAATTGTCATTTACCTTCGTTTAAAAAAAGAAGAAAAAAAACAAGCTAATCACAGCATTATGTATATATGTAGTTTACTTATATATAATTATAAATGATTCCTTGGATTTAGCTTTTGCTTCATGATAAACTTTATCGCAGCATTCACATTCTATCTCTCTCTCTCGCAATTATCTAGCATTTCTAGCATTTGTTTAGTTTAATTGAACATTGATAGCATTTCACTTATACTAATATTCACTATATATATACCATAAACAATGTTCAGGGCTAACTGGACTATACATATATCATTTTGCTTTGATGCAGCTCAATAAAATGGCAAAATGGCTGGCAAAAGCCAATTCCAAGGCATATATCAAGTTACTTATTTCATATATACAGTTATTTATATGTCTCATGCAAGCTGATTCGCCTTGCTTTTGGATATTGCTTGAATAACTTCATCACAGCATCTACATTATGTCTCTCAGTCACATATTAGTTTACATTTGCGCAACATCGACTTAGATACATTCACTACATTTGTCCAGCCTCTCTCTCGCTTTTTAGCTACCTGGACTTCAATTCCTTGCGCCAAATAAACCACAATCCAAAGTTCTCCTCCGTCAGTGCGCCTATGGTGCCATCCTTGATCTGATGTCCAATCTGCTTGGCTATGGGCTCACCCATGCTAAAGTAACTCGAACCACAGCCGATCTGCGCAAAGAGATTTCACAGCAAAGATTAGAGGCAAACACAGCGCAAAGCGAGATACAACGACATACCATAAAGCTGGCACGTCCCAGCCGGCGATTCGCAGTGTCCACATGCTTCTGACCCTTGCCGCCCTTGCGCATGGCCAGCTTATGCATGTTGCCCAGCTCCCGCTTCGTCACCGAATCCAGCGTAATGAATTCCTGCAAATGCAAAGCAGGCCAAATTTGCAGTTTAAAGCTACCATATGATGCAGTTAACTCACCTTGGGTATGGCAAAGAACTTGGCCAGCTTGGCCTGGACATGCATGCGCTTGGCGACGCTCAGCTCGCTCCACTCCTGCTTGCGCAGCAGCAGCGAGAGCACAATCTCGGACTGTGCCTGCTGGCAGCGCATTAGGTCCGTCACATAGGGCTCCTGCTTGTAGGCGGGCGCCTCTTTCGGCTCTATGACCGGCACCTACAAAAGAGACCGCAAAAGAGTTCAAGAGTTTAACCACTGGCTGCCGGTGGAGTGAGAGAAGCAGCCAGTCATTGTCGGCATTTTCAAGTGAAATGTGTCAGGCATCATCAATCAAAATTAACAGACAAATGACAGGCCGCAGTTACAGTTGCTGTTGCTTGTTGCTGTTGCTTGTTGCTGCTGCAGTTGTTGCTGTTGCTGTTGCATTGGCTTCTGCAGCAGCAACAATGCAACGCATTCTTTGTTTGCTCTCCCCGCCGCCCGCCTCACCTGTGAGTCATTCACATTGAAATCCCGTTCGGCATTCGCAGCCGCCGCCAGTAGCAAAGCAAGCAATAAAATTGGCAACGTTGCGGCTCGATTGCACTCCAGCGATAACACCAACGGCCTCATGCCTAACAGCTAAGTCTATATAGACGACCGACTTCTATATAGAATATGATTTCAGTTTCGTTTTCGTTTCGCTTTGCTTAACAATGCCAAAAGACAGCTCGATGCAGATACAGAGATACAGAGATTAGATGCCAGAGGGGAAAGTGAAGCGATTCGACTCGTTTCTGCCGTCGTTGTTGTTGTTGTTGTTGTGGTTGTTATCTTTGTCGTTGTTATCGTTGTTGTTGTTGTTGTTGTTGTCGTTTACGTCATCTGCAAAAGAGAAGCATACCATAAATTTTTATGAGAATTATGAATACATATTTGACATATATAAAAGCATAAAAGGTCTCGCCTCGTTATGTTCATGTTAATTAAGTGCTTAATTATCATTACGATATATAGATAGATATTTATGAATAGTCATAATCAATTGGGTCACCGACCCCATACTCTATACACACACACACCCAATTTGTAACCCATTCATGAGCTTAACAAAAATTATAAATGCTTAGGCAACTGGTCTACGTATACGTAATTAACATAAACAACTGTTTTTCACATCTGTTAGCATTGTTGTTGTTGTTGTTATTGTTGCCTTACCCACTCAAACATATTCGAGTGGAAATTAGCGCCAGATCAATATGCACTTTGGTTAAATAACATGAAAATGGAAAGTTGTAAACAAATGCCAGTTTTTTAAATGGCCCAAATGGGCGTAACACATTTTCAGGTTAGTTTTCCGTCTTGTGTTCTAGCTTTCTAATTCCCTATGATTAAACCATTTCCTGCTCTCAAGATTTATAAATTTAAAATAGAGCATAATATACAGACTCTTAAATGAAAGAGTTAATACATACATATATAGACTCTCTAATGGAAAAACTTTGCTATATGATAATATAGATATGATATGATAATATATAATCTCTGATCAATTTGTATTTATTCTGTAAATTTATTGAACTTTTTCAATAGCTATTTATTTTTTAATAAATGTCTATTTTATGTTCTTTAAAGTAATCCACGTCCTATATTATTCCCTCGTAGCAATATTTGTTTTCCAATCGTCAATCACTTTAAAATATCATTAAAATCAAATCGTATTCAACGTCTGCTCGATGAGGCCTTTACATCATAATTCCTGCTTTAAAGTCCATTAATAAATCTCTGGTATTTCGGATGCAAGAAGAATATGCCATCTCTGGCATATTGTAAAGTTAATTGAGTATTTTAGATAGCCAAGCATGTGGGCATAGCTAAACGGTTGTTACTTAAGTATCAATATAACGCCATAAAGATATCGAATATCAAATAAACAGAAGCCTACGCAATTCCGCATTAGCCATGCAGAAGTTAAATTAAAACAAAGCTAAATGCAGCTCTTAAGCATTAGCCATGCAGAAGTTAAATTAAAGCAAAGCTAAATGTAGCTCTTAAGCTTAGCAACTGTTTCGAGTAAAAGTTGCACTTTACAAATATGTGAAACATGCCAAAGCTGCAAGAATGTCTCATGCTTTCAAGAGAAAGTGCATGAGTATATATCACTATAAGTATATATAATATAAGTAGACATCTGTGCGCTGTTTATCAACAGCCTACGCATACTTTTCGTATTCGATAAGATTATAAAGCAAAGAAATTCCATTGATAAGTACGAATACGAATACGAATATATACACATATATACATATATATTTTTAAATGCAATCAAAGTCGTTTGGTTTAATCTGACTAATGACGTCTACATTCCAAGCTGAGGCTAGGCTTATCAATAGCCGCGTCTATTTATAGTGCAGATCCCATTCCCAGGCTGTTTTTCGAACAATCATTCAACATTCAACACTCGCTCCTCCTGCGAATCGAAAATGAGGCCAACATATGTTGCACCCGAGTTCGCCGGCTCAAGACTTTTGCAGTGAAATTCGTAATGGGGCGCGAGAGTGTGTGGAAAAATGACTTAGGATCTGTGGAATACCAATAAAAACGGAATTGGAAACGTCTTAATTGAGGCATTAAACATGTCAACGCGCACAGCGAGCAAAGACCAGTTCGAGCCGAGCGGGGCTAATTAATGATAAATGCAACAAGTTGGGAAAATGGTGAAAATTACGCACAGCTGGATGCATTAGTTAGGCCAGCACCAAACATAAATAGAAGTTACGAGAGATATTCGGAGGATTTTTATGTGGCCTATAAGAAAGTTTGCGGTTCGAGTGCGAGAAAGATGAATCAATTAAATTAAAATTGAGTTTTTTATATTAAATCAATTAAGTAAATATACTTTATACTATATAAAACATTTTATATGTATATAAGGTCTTGATTAAACCATGAAAATCTATTGAATAATACAATATATATGACACTATAGATTACAGATTTGTAAGTCTACAGGAAAATCTACAAAAAATATTCTACATACATATATTACATATCACTTATGAAACTTTTTCTGTAGTATATAAAATAATAAAATAAAGGGCTCTACATAAAATTAGCAGACACTGTTTAAGACAACTTCAAGCTCAATTGAATACCAATTGAATTGGTTTCATTTTACAGGGTAACCTCTAGTCGAGCATGCTTGAGTGAAGCACTTTAACTTGTCGCACTCGCAGCCAATTTGTTTGTTTTCAAAGTGGGCAACAATATTAATTGAACAGCTCGTTTCGTCTCCTGCCTGGCATAGCAATCAGCAGGGACCAGAGGGAATATATGTACATAGAGAGATGGCTAGATGGCGACACAGAGATAGAGCGAGAGAACTGTTAACTGAAGACTGGGCACTCGATACTCTGTTCAGGCAATATGCCACAAATAGATGAACTTAAAATGCAGCCAAGCATGCCGGGGCCATCAGTCAAGTTGGCAGCAGTTTTGGCATGAATGAGAATGAGTTATAAACACAGAGAAAGAGAGGGAGAGAGGGGGAGAGAGAGATAGAGTTATTGTGGGTGTGCGTACTCGTTGTTGTTGGGTTTGTTCTTTTTGTTGTGTATGCAAATGAATTAGCATTGCGCCAAATGTAAAACAGCCAGAGGGAGAGAGAGAGAGAGAGTGATAGAGAGGGAGATAATGAGAGAAAAACAATACAGAACTAACAGAGAAACAAGTTTACTGCATAATGAGTGTGTGTGTGTGTGTGTGTGTGCTCTGTGTTCTGTATCCATGTCTCTCTTTCTATGTGAGTGTGTGTGTGTGTGTGGGAGCTTCGGCTGCAACTGCAGCTAGGCAAAGGCAAAGTTCAATGGAGTCGAGAGTTCAGTTCATAAATTGAACAAACAAAAGCAAACTAATAAAGGTATAAAGCCATAGACGTAGAACAAAAGGCGCCAATCTATAAAAACTGAACATCATTATGAAGATGCTGATGGGGTTGTGATGATGCTTCAACTGCTGCTGCTGCTGCGTCTACTGCTGCCGCCTCTACTGCTGCTGCTGCTGCTGCTGTTGCAGCTAATGATGATGATGATGATGGTGATGTTGATGAGGATGCTGTGGCACCCACACACCCAGCGCTCTCTATTCAAGTGCCGCAAACAAAGACATATCGCTATCTATAATGTGATTAGCCATGCATTTAGTGCTGAGTGGCACTCGTTGGATGTTGCATGCGGCATGCTGCATGCCTGCATGCCTGCTTCGTTGTGCAGCTGTCTGTCTGGCTGTCCAACTCACTCACTGTCCAACCTGCCTGCGGGCATTTCATTATCTCGCCCCGTACGCTCCACATGCGGCCAATGGGCCAAAGTGCAGCCAATTAGCTTTACATTTAAGCGACTTCAAGTGGGCGGCAAAGGTGCTGCTGCCTTCTAAACTAACCATAAATGTGTGCGTGTGTGTGTGTGTGTGTGAATGTGTGCTGCAGTTGTTGCTGTTGCTGTTGTGGCTGCTGCTACGTGACACAAAAGTGTTGATTCTCTGGCCCAACTTTCAACAAAGAGCTTCTTTCTTTAAGCAGCCCACAGAGTCGCATAAACAAATTTATTTTCATTATGACCGCACGCACACACAGCACACACATGCACACACACACACACAAAGTTCATGGCTCTACAGCTGTAACTGCGCCTTCTTATTGGCCGCATTTTGTTGCTGACTTCTTAAAATTCTTTTTGACGCGGCTTACGCAGCAAATTTGACTTATGTTTCTAATACCCTATAAATGCTACGCTGTTATGAGGTAGCATGCTACATATTAATTTATATAAATATGTATTTACTATCGTTGTAAGATCTAGAAACATATGAAATATATTAACAGTTATCAAATAATTTAATACAAACATATTTTAATTTCAATTAAAATTAAATTAATTTTAATTTAAGAAAACATATAATATATATTTTATATTCATTTTTAAATATAATAAAATATATATTTAATTCAAAACAAATATTAAATTATTAAATTTTCTTAAGATAAATTTTTTTTTATATTATCAACTTATTCTAGGGTATTTTCAGCGTGGCGCCCACTTAAATAAATTCCATTTTTTATTGCTTATAACTTATTTCATATATGTGTGTGTATTTCGTTTCCAAGAAATAATAAAAAACAATTTCTTTAAGTCATGCAGTGCAGCTTTCACCCTTCGCTGCCCACTCCCCTGCCGGACTCTCTGTCTCTCTCTTTCATTCTCTATACTCTCTCTCTTTCTATTTCTCTCTATCTGTCTTGCTTATTCTGTGTCTTTGTAGCAGCTTTAATTAATTCGATGCTCCGCAATGGGCGCGTCTCCAATGAACTTTTAATGGATTGTTTGTTGCTCGTATTTTGTTTACGCTGCTGCCTGATTGAAAAGAAATTGTTATATATACAAATACATATATACATAAACACACACACACACACGCATGCATGTATTTACACACATGTGTTTCACGTAATTCATTTTCTATGACAACGCATATTTGACCCACAATCTTCTTGTTGAAAACATAAGCTCTCCCACTGTCCCTCTGTCTCTCTCTCTCTCATTCCCTTACTTTCCCAGCTCTCTGTAATATTCGTATTATATCGCCAATGAACTGGAACCTAACCCCGAAAAAAGCCCCAGCAAATGCATTACTACGAAAAAAAAAACGAACACACAAATACATCTCGAAAAAGCAGGCCACAATTGACCAAAAATAGAATCAAATTCATTTTCGGTTGTTGAATTTTCTCGTTGTTCGTTTTTTTTTTTTTTTGTTTTTTCAATCAAACTTGATGGCAGATCGGACAGGCGTGTCATGTTTGTTGTACTCATAACAATATAAAAGAGCGAGAAACATGAAAATCTGTTAAGTTATGCATTTTTTGCTGAAATTTAAGGAGCAGCCGCTGCAGCTGACACCTACAAAAATATTTTTTTAAGACTTTTACAAGCTCAAAAAAAAAAAGACATTTGAAAAGATATAGTTTATTTTTATTTGGCATGCCCTTTAATGGGCTTGTTTATAGGCCCTGGGTGTGAGAAAATGTATTAAAAAAATATGTATATAAAGATTTATGAATATATGGCTACAGTATTATTTCAATTTAAAAATCTGTAGTCTTCAAAAGAGAACTGGATTTATTCTTTATTCAATCTGATTTTATATTAACAGTCATGCGGAAATCTTATGGAACACCTCGCTGTGCCACTTATAGACGACAAAACAGAACTCAATAATACCCTTTTAACCTAAATTGTACAGAAACATAAAGAGATATAATTGTATAATTGAGTATATACTCGTATATAGCATTTGGCACGCACTGAAATGGCCGGCACATGTTAGATATTAAATATGATTTGGGGCATTTATCTACTTACTCTGATATGCATATTCATACACAGAGACAGGCACTGAGTGAGAGAGAGACAGACTGAGATATGATAGCACTTTTAGAGATATGCACAAGAAAGCCGTAAGATAACAAAACTGAGGTAGCTGTCGCATATGCGAGTTGCTTAATTTCCGGCGATTGCTCAATCCGGGCAAACGAGCATAAGAAAATGTTAAGCAATGCGTCGCAATGATATGTGAAGCCGAGCCGAGCCGGGCCGGGTCGGCATGCGAGTTGGCCAAAGAAGAAATGTGCGGCAAATTGATGCAACGGCACGTAGTATGCCCGGGGGCACGCACACGCGACAGAGTCGCGACAGACGGCGCACTCAACCCAGGCAGACAGACACATTAACCCACAGAGCGCTGAGGCAACACCCAAAAATCGAATTCAGCCGTCGAGCCAAAGATGCAGCGCTCTTAACGTGCACCCATATCAAAATAATTTGATGATCGAGTTTAATTGACTGTAATTGGACTATGACGATGACGTTGACTCCGATGTTGTTGACAACAACAACAACAACAACAGCAACGACAACAGCAACAACAAAGAAAGTTGTTAATTTGGCATGACTTGCAATCAAATGACACGCCCACTGGCTGCCTATCCAATTTGGGCTCAATTTGATTTCAAATTAAGACAAAATTCAGATGCAACAATAACAACAACGTTGACAAAAACAACAACCAAGATTGCAACAAATTGCTGTGACTGATCGAGCCAGTAGAACTCAACGAATAGATCATTTCCTACACTCAATAATTAGCTTAAGGAAATGAATAGAAACTGTCTTTGTCTAGAAGTCTTGCATTGGCTTTTTAAATTCGCCTTCCCTAATTTCTCGTATTTCTTCTACCTATTATTTAGTATTTTTCGCTTTAAACAAATTTCTAAGCTTATGCTTCGCTTGGCAGTTTTACTTCATCTCATCTTCTCATCTTTATTTCTGTCAATCCCTATATCTATTCTAATATTTTTCTTTATATCTGGTTTTTCCTTTTTTTCTAATTCGTCTCTCCCTCCATCTCACTCTCTTCATCTGTCCCTTTCTATATCTCGCACTCTTTCTCAACCCTTTTTCCCACATTCACTATATTTCTGTCTGCTATCTTGCCCCTCTCTCTCTCTTTCTTTCTCTTTATCTCACCATAAGATATCACCTTTCCATGTGATTTTCATAACATATTTATATAACATAGTGGAATACATAACAACCAAACTATCACAAACTGTGTCACTAGGTGCTTGGAATTCATTACAAACTCCATAAACTACCTTGTATATATATTGTACATATATTTCACATAAACTAAAGTCGCCTATGACATAACATTCTAGCTATCCCTTGTGTACACTCTCTAGTCTGTGAGGCGCAACATAAAATAGATTATCGAAATTTAAATCTAATTGAAATGACAATATTTTTGGGCACACACTGCCTATCGATCGCTGGGGGTCTTCGTGGGGGCTTTGATTAATGTGCTAAGTTGATTAGTAATCACGTGGCAGAGTGTCGCCGGCAACGCGATATGCAACCTGAGAGCCGTCACCGGAGCCAGTGGAGTCACTGGAACCACTGGGGCCATTGCTCCATTCCCTTGCGATGCGATGCGAGGCGAGACGAGACGAAGCGATGTGAAGCGAATCTTTCGCCAAGTCACAACAAAAATATTTTTTTGCGTGGGGCCAACAACTGAGCAGATTGCAGTTGTGTATGTGTGTGTGTGCAGGGTCGCCATTTTGGCCAAGGCGTGTGTGTGTGTGTGTGCGCTGTCTGCTGCGGGTGCAGCGTGTGCCGGCAAGCAAGTTGCAACGTTGGCAGTCGCCACAATCGCAAAACTCTCGGCGATCCGCTGCGCGAGCCATTCGCTTGCATGCATAATGGATGACAACTGAAGTTGTTGTTGGAGTTGCTGTTGCTGTTGCCGTTGCTGTTGTCGCTTTTTTTATTTTCAAAATTGTATGTACTTTTCCAAAAACAAAAAACAGCAGAAAAAACCAAACAAATGCTAAAAACAAACACAACGCACAGCAACAAAAACAACAGCCGTTCGGAGGCGTTGATGAAGTCGACAGCAGTTGTCGTTGTTGCTGTCGCTGTTGTTGCTGTTGCTGTTGCTGTTGTTGCTGCTGCTCCAGCAATGCGTTGCCGGTTCGAACAACAGCTGCTGCCATAATACGAATAGAATCGTATGTATTTTTATACTTCAACAGCCCATGGAGCAGAAAACAAGTAAAACAACAAAATTTGTTGAAAGTAAAAGCTAAACCGAAACTTTTAATACCCTACCCTACGCTAAGCTTCTTGGAAAGAAGAGTCAAGAATTTTACTCTCATACAAGATTTACATAAAAGTGAATCTTTTAAGTTTATAGAGTGTAAGCAAAGTGACATCAGAGCAATTTTTGGGCTTTACTTGAAAACAATTATCTGTTGTGATTCATCTCCAAAGTTAACTTAATGTTCTCATTTCTAATTCACTTTGTGCGTCATCCTCAAAATTTTTAGTTTTGCTTAAATGAAAATCAAATTGAAATGGCACATGATTGAATAAACCTTTCAAGGTTATATTTTATCTCATTTCAATTTACATTTTATGTGAAAAAGCTTTCAAACACACATTTTTTCAATTTTTTTATACATATAATGAAAATATGCAACAACAAAAAAATAATAATAATAATAATGAATTTTATAATATAAAGAAATATCAATCAAAGATTTGTATTAGCCCATCTGCAGTTAGAGTATGTGAAGGAAAGGTCTGCACTGGCTTGTTTATTTGAAATATGTATGGTCAAAATGCCAGAGAGAGAAACACAGAGGAATGGAGGGAGGAATATAGAAAGAGGGAGAGGAAGGTGGACAGGGAAGATAGTCGAGAGAAATACATCGAATATTCGAACGCTGCGGGGCATATGGCATGCGTGCATATGTGTGATAAAAGAAGAAGAAGAAGAAGAAGAGGACAAAGCAAGCGAATGAAAGTGTAGGGTATATCGATGGTCAAACAATGGCAAACTATAATTGTAATTATATAAAACGCAGCTGGTGACGGAATCGAAAATGGAATTGAAATGCGTGCAGATGACAAGCCTGCAGGCAGACTAAAAGAACAAGAGAGACAGAGACAAAGTCGGAGAGTGAGAGAGACGGTGCTGAAGAGCCAGGCGAGCAGCAAGCATGTCAAGTGACGCCCTCACCATTAGCGAGCGGTAAATTGCCGCAGTCTGATTAAAAACGCATCAAATACGACTAAACGACGATGAGACTGTGAGAGGGGGAGAGCGGAAGAGCCGGCGGGTTGGCAAGAAATGAGAGTAGGAAAACACAACCTATGCTAAATGCTCGTAAAAGTAATTTTTGTTGCCCCACACACACACACACACACACACTCTCACTCTTATACACCCTGTGCAAGGGAAGGAAAGACAAATAATGGACCAGACATTGCGGGACAGGGTGCGCAAGAGGAAAAGGGACAACCCCCTTTTTTTGGCCACGCACACAGCATCCGCCAAAAAAAAACAGCAAGAATTGCTAATGCTTTGTGCGTGTATTGGTGTAAACACACACGCACAAACGCACACGGTGAAAAATCAGTGCGGGTGCGTCGCTGTCGCTGCCGCAGTCGCAGCTGGCGTCGGCGTCTTTTTGGCTGAGTGCCGTCATCAAAACACACACACACACACTTTCACGCAAACATTAAGTGTGTGTTTGTGTGCGTGAGTGAGTGACGAGAAAGGGGGCGGGGCTAGGGCTGTTGGCTTCCAAAAAGGACTGCTGTGACAGCTCCCAAAGCATTGCTGATTGCAAAAATCTGTTAAATGAAAACAGGTCGAGCTTTTCTTTTTTTATACACCAATTGCTGATGGACAAGAACTAAGCACACGCAGACATACATGCTTTGCATCAGCAGCAGCAGACAGTAAGAACAACAACAAGCAGAAGAAGAAGAAGAAGTCAGCTTGTTGTGGCCCCTTTCATCTCGCATCTCGCTCATCGCTCGTCGCTTCCGTGTTTCGAAATTCAATTTATGTATACTTTATGAGGTTGCCCCGCATTTTGGGGCGCGTTGCCAGACGCGTACCATGCCGCATTTTGAACGTTGACAGCGCCGCTGGCGTTGGCATCGCCGGCTGCCGCTGCGGCCGTTGGGGCTGATGCTGCTGCTTATGGCAGCTCCATGGAGTCAGTGAGGCATGGAAAATTGCAAGTTCAGGAAAATCGATTTTCGTTTTGTAGATTTGGCTAGGCAAATGCTGTGTCTGTCTTTATCTTCCTTATATATCTTACTTATTAGGCTAATTAGCGTGCAGAAACAAACACATACACTCACACAGTTGCAGTTAAAGTAAAAATAAACTTACCTCTGCTGGCACGCTGCACACAGTATTCTATTTAAGTTTTGCGATCATTCATGTATAAAATGCACTTAAATTTTGTGTTCTAATGATGCTGATGTTGTAGCTGCTGAAGAATCTGCTGCCAAAATTGCGTTTCCAACATGCACGTACGCACACACACACGCGAAAATTTACTTACAAACGGCAGCTGCACTTGCATACGCGCACTCACACACATACATATGTACACACGCACCTATATAAATATGATGAATGGTATGTAGGGTTTTTCACTGACAACTTTGAACTGTGACTCTACAATTAAAAGCCACCATATATTTACTAAGGCGGCGCGTTAATTGATTAAAATGCGTTCAAGTCTTAACATGGTTTGCGAGCGAGCTTTTCACTTTTTCTAGTATAACAACATACAAAACACACGGCTCCAAAGCGTTTTATTGTTGGAGCAAACGACGGCACTTGAATGACGATGTGACCGCAGGCAACTAATACGAAAATGCACACAGCGATAACTTTATCGATAGAGTCGATTGTATATGGCATGTGTACGCTTTCCAATACTATTTGTATCAATTATCGAATACGGTCACACCACAGTCGCATAACTTACCTAACATGTTGCAAGGTTTACTGCAGAGGTAAATATATAAATAATACCCATTAATATGTGAAACATTAATTGTCAATGCACTTGCAGAACTTGTGTGTCGGCACTGAACACAGCCCAAACATTGTTTGTGCGCCAGAAACATGCCTTTGACCGCGCCGTGCTGAAGCCGAAAGTGCGCTGCCATTTCCCAAAGCCGCGCGAAGTAAAGCGCATCAACGTCCACGGATGGGACGCGCGAATGTCAACACCAGAAGGCAGACGAGTATTAATGCGGCGCATACTGAAGGGCAGACACGACCTCTCCCATTAGACTAGGCAATCAAATCAATACAATACATTTAACAGTTCACAGTTAATACATTTTCAATTGCTTTTACAATTTGTTCAAATTCTCTTTGTAAATATTAATTTTTGGTATTTGTTTTCGGGTTTTTCGGCTGGCGCATGAAACCAGGACGGAAGTAGATTTGTTGTATACTCTTAGAAGACTTGTTGTCATCTATAATGAACACGAAAGGCACATTGTTGGCAACGCCGGCACCCTGATCCTTGAAAAATCCTTGCGGCAGGCACATGTCGGTGCCTAATACCAAACAGTTGACCTGCGAGAGACGTTCCAAAGGCATGGCTGGGACTAGATACAGCTTCTTCTCCTCATAATCAATGGCACGCACAACACCTGCAAGAAGAGCAAGACATTTAATAGATATTGATAAGTTATAGCGAGGACTTACCTATTCCTAGACACTCTTTTGGATCGTCATCCAGCCGACCCTTGCACAGATAAACCAGATTGGCCTCCATGCCAGCTATAAGCTCCTCACGTACGTAATCCTTGGACACGAGATGCACAAGCTTCACTGCATCCAGATCCACGCTAACTGGCTGACAATCGGTCAGGTACTTTGCATTGCCGTTCAACGCACTGCTGAGACGCGCCAACAAATTGGCGTAACGCACATCCTTGGGGCTCATCCTCCAGTGATGCTCCGGCTCCAGCTGCGGCAAAACGCTTTCTAACTGATGCAATTTGTAGCTGAAGGCTTTTGCATTGACCTTAAACTCATCAGCTGTATAAATAATGGGGCGCACCTTGGCGAGGGATTTGGGATTTAGCGTTATCTCAAAATTGTTTATGGCCTTAGGACTGGATATTTGTATCAAATCTGTTGGCTGAACACAGTCGATCAATAGAGCCATTAGCTCCCGACCGAAGCCTTTGTTGTAGCCCATCGTATTGATGAGCCACGGCATTTCATCATAGCTCGGGTTAACCTTGCATTGAAACAGCAACTCTCGCACCGCTCGGATGTACTGCTCCGCGCACATCACCACATTCACATGACCCACTGCATAGGCTCGTTCCGGCTGTTTATTGAAAAAGAAACCAGCTCCCAGCAGCGGGCCATCGATGACAAAGCATGAAATCGTCTGTGGCAAAAAAAATTCGGGCTGTCCAATGTCCAGGTCAATGAATAGAATGCGTTCGAAGCGGCTCAAATGCCTGTTCAGCAAAAAGCGAAGTAACGTGGATTTGCCCACACCTTTGCCCCCAGCCACCATCCAGCGACTGCGTGGCTGCAGCTTCAGCTTCATCCACTTGTGGGTTATACGCAGCGTTTGCTTTGCATCGGCGCTCTGGATTAAGCAGTTTAAGATATACTCACTCGAAGCATACGGACGATTGGAGGTATTCACCATGGGGAAAACCTTCTCCACCATGTGTTTGCCAATGATGTGGAGCATATTTTGTGCCCCGCTGTTCCGCTGCATCAGCACAATTGCATCGCGATACTCATCATAGCTTCCCTTAATATGATCCAGTTGAGCGCGTGTGAAACTGTCTTCCAGGTCTTTCCAGCTCGAATTTGATTCCAGTTTTGATTTGATTGGTTTCATGTTCGACATGGGTGAAATGGCCACCCAGTTAAAGCCTTTGGGTGAATAGATGGTCAACGGAACATCGCGGCGCGGCTTATAGCCATTGATTGTAATGCGTCCAGATAGCAAGGTCAGTGTTACGGTGCCATAAAGCTCGATGTCCTGTTTCACCACAGCCAGCACATTGTTGGTCTTGAAACTATTCTCAAAAACACACCAATCGGGTGTAAATTCAGGTATATTGTGCCATGGAGATGTTATACGACCTTCATATGTTGGCAGAAGCTGCATTTCTATGTCTTCTTCATCATTATTTACTGAATTTTCACTCATCTCAACCGGCTCCTTTTCACCTTCAGCTTCGTCATCAGATTCGCTTAAAGCTTCATCTTTCACAGTCTCCGCAGAAAAGTTTTGAGTTTCGGGCTCTGCTTTATCCATCATTCCGTCGAACACCGAAACTTTAGTAAGGTCTACATCAACCACCGGCGCTTCAGTTATACACAGTGGCTCATCGACCTTCTTCACATGGATATCAAAATCTATTTTAATTGGTTTAAGCAGCTTTGCTTTAATTATTCCTGGCTGCAAAAAGAAGTTCTTGTCACTATCCCATGAATAATCAGAATCGGAATTTAGTTCAGACGTTGCTTCCTCCTCGTCCATCAATTCAGCGTCAGACTCCGATTTGGATTCTGATTTCTGTTCGTCCATCGATTCAGCATCAGACTCGGACTCCTCCTCGTCCATCGATTTAGCGCCAGACTCCAATTTGGATTCTAATGTCTCGTTGTACAACGATTCCCCATCAGACTCGGATTCATCACATTTAGACCCTGATTCGTCCTCTTCCATCGATTCAGCGTCAGACTCCGATCCAGATTCTTCCTTGCCCAGCGATTCAGATTCTTCCTTGTCCATCGATTCAGTATCAATCAACTCTGATTCCTCCTCCGATTCAGATTGTGATTCCTCCTCGTCCAACAATTCAGCATCAGACTCCGATTCAGACTCTGCTTTTTCCCCGTCCAAGGATTCAGCGCTCTGGCGCTTCATTTTTATTGAATTTGTATTCTTTTTAGCAGTCACATTTTTATTACCAATTTTCTTTGATTTTTTTATGGCATAAGATGGTTTTTGTTTCCTATTAGTTGCAGTCTTCAATTGACCCTTTTGAGTTGATCCTATTTCCAGTTTAGCCCGTTTATTAATTGCTTTTACTGGAACATTCTGAGTTTTACGTTTGATTGCATTTGCAATAGCAGCCATTTCCATCTTATTGTCCAAATTTGCAATAGAGTTTAATTTTGCATTTAAGTTTTTCTCAGACATTTTTGGATTAGATATTGTATTTGGCGCCTTTTGAGTGGCCGTTGTTTTTTCCTCGATTCTCGGTGGATTACAAATAGCAACTTTTGGTTTGTAATTAATTGTTTTCCAGATATTTGTTGAAACTAGCGGAGCTTGTGATTTAGCTATGCGATTTTCAGTAAGCTTAAAACTGGACTGAATTTCTATCCGTACTCTCTCATGACGTTTGATTGTCATTTTGTTCATTTGACAGAAAACAACCAGCTAACTATTTATGCCGGGCCATGTGTCTTCAAAATTAAGAAGCAGGAACGGATTAGCGATGGTATTGCGATAAAAGTAACAGTAACGGCATGTAACGAATTAATGTGTCACTAAGTCAATAATCTTGTCAAAGCAACTCTGAGTTATTCATCTGATTGATAAGATATATATAATATAAATGTTTATTAAGCTATTAATGTAACTTTCTATATCATATTTGGGGGAAAACATGGCAAAACAGAACGGGATGTGGTTATTTTGCATACCCAGATCAGGTAATCGTTTAAATGATATTTTCCAACACTATAGTTCATGTGCAACTCTGGGGCGCACGAAGGCGTTGGTTGTTCATCTACCAAGAAAATTCATCGTCATTTTGCATGAGAAAAAAAACGTCGAATTTTTAATTGTAATAACTTTTATACGAAACGAGCAACGGTAGACGCATAAGAATCAACATATTTGTGCCATTTTGTAAGCATTACAAATAAAGTGTCCCATTCGAACCGAGTGTTGCAAAAAAGAAAAATATATATTGTAAGTGAGGAAAGTTGAAAGAGCAGTGAAAAAATTCCACACACGCACTCATACATATATGTAGAGCTCTACGCGCACAGACAAACACACATACAGCCATGCAATCGAACTCACAGACAACATATGTATGTGTATGTATGTACATAAATGCGAGTGGATGATGATGTTTTTGGAATAAACGTACGAAGAGTTGGTGGCGGGTGAGGGTGAGCGGACCTATGACGCGACCAGTGGACTATCTCGAGACACATTCGTGTAGAACTGAAGAAAAGTAAATAAATATATATGTCTAAATGGGAGCAGTGGTGATTCGGCCAATACGAATACCAATACACGTAAAGACACTGGCTTTCATTTATATAAATAAATCTATGCGTATGTGTATGTATGCATAAATAGCTGCACAATTGGAAGCGATTAAACAATGGCCCAAACATTGCATTCTGACTTTCCACCACACAAACCTAACTGGCGTAAAAGAATCCCCCACCACCAACAACGGGCGATTGTCAAAAAGAAAAAAAAGAGCCTCATGCGGCTGTTCGCTGATGCTTCTTCTTTTCCATAGATCGTCAGCAGCAGCAACAACAAATGGGAGAGCCATTCAAAATGTATGACTCAAATGTGTGTGCGTGTGTTTGTGAGAGATTGTGGCATTGCTGCGCGCGAGAGTGTTAATATAAATGTATGTGTATGTGTGTGTGTGTATGGCTTTTTCACTTTGATATTTTTCAACGAGCTCGCGCAATTTTCGCAAATATATTTAACACAACGCATCGTCCGTCGTCGCCGCTGTCGGTGTCGTTGCATCCACTCTGCCACTTCCAGAACCTCCAATGACGACGATTCGCAAGAAATTGGTAATTGTCGGCGATGGTGCCTGCGGTAAAACTTGCCTTCTGATCGTCTTTAGCAAAGACCAATTTCCCGAGGTCTATGTGCCGACTGTCTTTGAGAATTATGTCGCCGATATTGAAGTCGACGGCAAGCAGGTAAGCCCAAGTTTATCACCTTTTCATTCACACACCAATCCGAGCCTCCCCACCCCGAAACGCGCCGCCCCGCCCAACACACACAGCATTCAAAATCATCTGATCATCGGTCTTTGTGTACATTTTTATTTTATTTGTTTTTCATACATGCTCACATTTGTACATATACGCTCATCTAGCATCCCGTTACGTTCCCCCCATCCTGCTCGATTCCAGTGCACTCTGCGCTCATGTTGTAAAAAAAAGTTGTGAGTCAATATCAATTGTCGGTAGGCATACTTGACTCCCGCTCTCCAGCTCTCCTGCTCGCACTCTCCTTGCACACATAACGACACACACACACACGTACCCACATCGACGACGTAAACGCACGCACTCACACTTACACGCGTACTAATACTAAAACATGTACTTGTATAGCAAGCTCCCTTCCTTCCGTTTCTTGCTTGTGCTCTTGCTCTTTTTTTTTGTATTTATTTTATTCGTCTTATACACAAGCCCGTTGCGCACATACAGTTTTGCGCGTTGCCCCTCGCGCTCTCACGTTCGCCCCCCTCGCACTCAGACATTGCATACCTGCGCTCACGTTTGGAGCCAGTAGCACGCGCTCTCGCTCTCAATTGTAATAAAAATATATATAAAAAAAAAAGAAAAAGAAAAGATATACTGCCGTATGCCATTTTGATTTGCATTAAGTCATGTTTTGTGTATTTGTTTTTGGTTATTTGTTAAACAATTTCATTTCTAATAATTTTATACGACTTTTTTCTTCTTGTCTTATATTTTTTGTTGTTTTGGTATAAACAATTTACGCAGCACAATATGGCGGCGTTTGTATTTGGTTAATACTTACATATGATGTATAAACATATGTATAGACCTACAAACATACATACAGCCGTCTGTGTCTGTCGTTCACGTCACTCTACGTATTGTGTCTGATTAATACGTTTGGCATTTCCGCCAGTTCCTTGCTATCTTTCAACTTGAAGTTGACTCTCGTCTTCGTCTTTCGTCTTTGTGATGGAAACGGGCTTTTGTGCTACATAATTGCCAACTTAACGGGCGTTATCACTCCACATTTATACATACATACATTTCTACATAAATATATACTTACATCAATATATGACGTGATTCTTCTCTATTTGCCATATAGGTGGAGTTGGCCTTATGGGATACAGCTGGTCAGGAAGATTATGACAGACTGCGACCGCTGAGTTATCCAGACACTGATGTTATACTTATGTGTTTCTCAGTGGATTCACCCGATTCGCTAGAAAATATTCCCGAAAAATGGACGCCAGAGGTAAATAGAAATTCAATATGTATTTATAAATGTTATTAATAATCATTTGTTTATTTCAGGTCAAACATTTTTGTCCCAATGTTCCAATCATTTTGGTAGGCAATAAGAAAGATTTGCGAAATGATCCCAACACAATTCGGGTAAGATATTTAGATTAGTTAAATCAAGTCTTGGATATGAAAGTCTAATAACTGTTTTCGAAACTTTCGCAGGATTTGGCAAAGATGAAGCAAGAGCCGGTTAAGCCGCAGGAGGGACGCGCCATGGCTGAGAAAATTAATGCCTTTGCCTATTTGGAATGTTCGGCCAAGTCCAAGGAGGGTGTGCGAGAGGTATTCGAGACAGCAACCAGGGCTGCACTGCAAGTTAAAAAACGGAAGAAGCCCAAATGCCTTTTGCTCTAAAAGAGCAAATAACAAAATTCTATACAAACACAAGGAAACACACACATACACACACACACAAACACAAGCACACACCTTTTTACAAGAATAACAACTACTGGAATCAGATAGCATGGGGAATCCGGCAACAGCAACGCAACGCATATAGAGAAACAACAACAACAACCAGCAGATATTGCTTTTGCAACAAACAAAAAACACGCAACAACATCAACAGCAAGATGAAGATGAAGATGAAAGGGGCAAAATGTCAAATGCGGATTTGATTTTATATACAGTCTAGAGTAGTTATTAACCGAAGTAAACAACAATAATAAATATCGCATTATTATTATAATTATTATTTGTAACTCTTGACGGCGTCGAAAATCAGTCAACACTCAACCAATCAACTATCAATACATACTTACTCGTATATATGTATCTATATACACACACCTATGTATATGCATACTATACTATATGTCCTATATATATATATATATATATCATCGTATCCGTTTGATTTTGAGATTAAAAGCCAAACAACAAAATATCTACAAGCATTACTAAAGGTGTGTGTGTGTGCGTGTGTGTATGTGTGATGCTGCATGCGCTTATATGTGCTCGCGTGTGTGTGTGTGTTGATTAGTGATGATGCAGTTATTCATATTTTTTTCAAAGTCTTAAGGCATCTACATATACAAATATTCTGATAAACAGACAACAAACAAAAAGAGAGCCTAAAATGCAAGCATTCATAAACATACCAATTACAACTTTTTCGACTCTTATATATATATATATATATTATATATTCAAACAGAGACCGCCAATAAACTAAACAAAATGATACACATATATATGTATATAAATATATACATATATATAAATACTACTTTGCAAACAATTACACAAAAAAAGAAAAAGAAATGATTAAACATAAGCCACAAGTGACAGATGCATTCAAATTTTTTCAATGTGCAAATGCAAGTTCAGAGTTTTTAATATTTGTATTTTGCATTAAAAAAAAAAAAAAAAAAAAAAAAAAAAAAACAACAAAAATATAAATTAGCGTATTTTATGATTTTATAAAATACCAATCTATATATATATATATACAGTACATATATGTATGTATGTGTGTATGTCTCTTTTTTGTATTTTGTACCGTCAAAAATCGTGTAAAATTCTCATACAAAAAAACTCAAAATGCTATATATTTACATATGTATGTATGTATACGTATATTTGTATATATATGTATATATACATACATATACATATACTATTTTCTACAGTTACTATATTACACAATTTAAACAACAGATGAAAGAACAAATGCGTCGAAAGTAATTGTAAATTTGTGCATTCAAAAGTTTTGCTTCCTATACAATAACATAAAAAAAAAAAAATGATTAAATATGCAGAAGAAGAAGAAAGAAAACAAAGCAAATACACATTTTACCAGATTACCAAAATTAACATGAAAATATATATGTGTGTATGCATATATACATATGCATATGTAAACCAAAAAACAACAAAAATCATTTCTTTTCAAAATTAAAAAAAGAATATTTTACTAAATAAATAAATAAAGAAAAAATAAAAAAAAAAACGATAAAAATCAAAATTCTAAAATGTTTTCTTTATTTCGAGGCTTGGGCAAAATTGATTTATTTATTTTTAAATAAAAGGGTTTATTTTCTTGTTTCAGAGCTGTAAAAGTTGGAAAGAAATATATTATAAAAAAAGTGAAATACTTTGACATCATTTACAAAATTTGATACATTTAATAAAAACAAAAAAAAAAGAAGAAATAAATACAATTCGTAAGTTATAAAAATATTTAAAATATAAATGGATTTAAGTAAATAGTTGCAGTACGAGTAAAGCCATAAATTCTATCGTCGTGTAACGTTAAAAGAAACACACTTATTTTAACGGGGGTTCCAAAAATCTTTATTGGGATTAATTTTTTTTTTCTTTTTTTGCTTATCGTTTTCATTAATTTCTTGTACATTTAAAATGTAAGAATTAAATAGTGAAATGACCGAAAGAAAAAAAAAACCGTTAGCATTGGCCAGCTGGAATTACCCGACTTGTGCATCTATTATAATACTCGCGTTATAGCTACTAACTTCTAGTTTCTTTATCTTTTTTTACGTTTTTCACGTTTTTTTTTTTTTTTTATTATTGTTTCTTGGGAAATAATCGTAATCGTATTTGATATTTAACATTTTTATAATATTATAATTATATTATATATATATAAATATTTTATTTTTTTTGGAAAGCTTGCTTTCAATATACCCGCATTCAATTCAACTGACAAATAGAACTAAGGTTTAAACAACATTTACAAAGTTTCGTTTAGCTCGTTATTCGTTTGGTTTTGCTTAAACAATAAAAAACATACAAATTATTCAACGCCTGTTAACAATTTTCAATTGTTATTTTTCATTCTCTTTCTTGTTTTAACAAATTGTGTAGACTGTAATTAAAGCCTTGTGCTATGATGCAGTCGCAGTAACATTGATGTGAGGAACTTATGGTGATGCTTAGCGAAGGGCATAAACGTAATTATAAAGTAATTAACAAAAAATAAATAAACTTAGGCAAGTTAACAATTAAAATGTGTAAACAAATGTCAATGCATGCTACGTTTAAAAAAAAAATTAATATTAATAACATTTAACAATGGATCTGCATATCAATCAATCGATCAATGTTTCAATCGTCAATCTGTGTTTAGTATACATCTGCGTTAAATTCAACATTTATTCGATTAGTTAATGTGCGTACGTTAATTATAATTATAATAATAATAATACATGCACATAATACACTGTTAACACTTTCCTCACTTCTGTTGGACAGTTTAAATTGTTTTTAATTCTTTTGTTGTTTTGGCGACTTAAAGCTCTCTATGACCTTAATATATATCTGTCTATATATATATTTATATGGGTCTATATAGCTACCACTATTGGCTGCAGCTAGGACTCAGTTTTGTATATCGTTTCGTTATTTTTTTGATTTAACATTATTGCTATTATCATTAATTTTGCATATGGTTCTCTTTGCTTCGGTTGCTGTTTGTTTAAATTTTAAATGCATTTCATTTAGTTTTGTTTTTGGTTTTCGTGTTTTGCCAATTGGTTTTCTGCTTTCTGTTAGGAATCAACATTTCTTATTAGTTATACTAGATACGTATATATACGTATGTGCATTGCTATATAATATTGTATCTTTCGAATTCGTGCTTAAAACATATTTTTGATATACATATCTTTCTCTCTATATATATAAATAAATATATATATATATATATATATTCTCATATCAGTGTGCACAGCAGCACCTTAACAATACAAATACAACAAATACAATGTGGCATGGTTAACAAATGACGAATATAAAATAAAAAACAATTCAAATTAAAACAATTAACAAAAGTTTTGTAAGTCCAAACAGAATGTCACTTAGTTGTTGTCCTTAACAATTAGAATAGTTAAACGCGTTTCCATAAATTCATTTGTTTTTCAAAAATGATTAGACACAAACATATTTGATTTAGAGTGCCACATACAAATCGTACATATATATAGCTCATATATACATATGTATAGAAAAACACATTGGATAAATATTGCACTTGCGAACCGAGGAATTTGATTTCGTTTGATTTCTTTTTCTAGTTTAAATTTCGCCTGCGCCGAAAAACCAATGCGAATATGGATCTGATGCGCCACCAGCGACTGCGATGTCGCGTGTGTATCTTCTCCGAGCTGGTATCCGTGCCCAGTGCCTTTTGCATCTCTTTGCGGCGGATTTCACGCACCAGCGTATAGAATGCCTCGTCGATGTAGTGCCTCAGTGCAGCGGATGTCTCGAAGAACGGGCAACCGAATTGATTGGCCAAGTTTTTGCCCTCCTCGGTGGTGACACGTCGCTGAGATTCCAAATCCACTTTATTGGCTATCAACACCAGCGGTATGTCCTCCGATAGACGGACGCGTGTTATCAATTTGCGGTATTCGGATGCCTCCTGAAAGCTGTGGCGATCGGTAACCGAATAGCAAATGATGAAACCTTCGCCGCAGCGCATATATTGGTCCCGCATGGCCGTAAACTCGACCTGGCCAGCAGTGTCGAGTATGTCCAGCAGAGCGGCCTCATTGTCAATTACCGCCTGTTGCTGATACGAATCCTCTGCACACACACACGCACGCACGCACACAGTGATAGAGAGAGAGAGAGCATGTAACAAAGAAAAGTTCAAAGGTGGAACGAACAGCCGAAAGAGAACACACTCACCAATTGTGGGGTCATGGTAGTCCAAAAAGCTGTGACTGACGAACTGCAGGGTAACAGCTGTTGTCCGTGTACATGTGTGAGTGTGTGAGAGGGAGAGAGAGAAAAGAGAGCGTATGTTAGTATGTATGTGTGTGTACACGCAAAGTTTGCCGAACGCACGAAGCGAAGCATTGGGGTTGATTGTGGGTGGTTTGTTGTGTGCCGTAAAACAAAGTGTAAAAGAAATTCAGATAATTTATTGATTTTTCCCATGGACGGGCAGACGTACTAGAGTAAAATGCGCAGCACTGATTGGAGCCGCTAGCCGCAGATAGAACACTTACCAGACTTGCCGACACCGCCATCGCCCAGTATGACGATCTTGTAGACCCGCAAGCCGCCACGCATATTCTGTGGTGCACTGGGTGGTTTGATTAATAGGCCACTATTATGGCCATTTTCTTTGCGCTCGTTTGGCAGCTGCATGGAGTCAGTGTCGGTGCCGCTGGTGCAGCTTTTTAGTTTTGTGGATCGTTTGAGAGCGGCACAGCCAATGGACATGTCGCCGGCCATAGCTGGGAGGCGTTGCTCCCCAAATTGCTCTAAAAGGCGTGGCTAATTTTGATCTGTTGCGGTCGCCGCCGTCGCCGCCGCCGCCAACACCAAAATTGTGCGTAGTTTGCAGCGCCTGGCCTGTAAATGTCAAACATTTTAGTTGCAGTTTGTGTACCATTGCTTTTTATTTTATTTTTATTTTCCTATTTTTACTTCCACTTACCACAACTTTGCACTTGGCCCGGAATCCTACAACGGCTTTTGTTGACTTCAATTTCAATCGTATCTATACATAATTGTGATGGGTTGTTTTCCCTCGTTCCGTTCTATTTTGTTGTTGTTGTTTTTTTATGGTCGTATAAGTGTGTGACCAGCTGGACGCAACATCTGAAAATACCATAAAATACTAAATGTTAGATAAAATTATTGACTGTTATTGTGAAGGGGAATGTAAAATTATAGCAAAGGACGGTTAGCGTGTGATTCTTCGAATGACTCCTTATATTAGAATAATGTCTAATATAGGATATGCTGGTGATTTATTTGTTAATCGATATTTAAATAATATTATATATTACAACATAACATATAACAAACATATAATAAAGGACAATGAGAGCGCCAATAAAATCAATTACACATGTACTATCGGAAATGCTGTGTCACGCAAGAGACCACACTGGAAGCGATTAATCGGTAACAGCTATGATGCTATAAAAAATGTTACTATAAACTAACTGATTTTTAAAAGAAATGTTCTTTTCTCTTATTTATCTTGCACACAAAGATTTTACTTAATAAATGAAAATTTCATTTCCCGATATTCCCGTATAAGTAAAGAAAAGCTCAACCTCCAATGCCGCCGGTCTGCCTACCGCCTGCTTGACGGACTGGCCGATCGCTCGTTTTAGTTACGTGCTGCGATCGCGGGTGAGCTGTTCGCGCTCGCGTTCCGTTCCGACAACGACACCTACATCGACAAGCAGTGAAAATCAAGAAGAATAGAAAATTAAAAGAAAAACCGGGAAGAAAAAGAAAAATATACAGTGGTGCTGAAATCAAATACGGCCAGCAAAATTGGCATTTAGCGAGCTTCAAGCCAACTGAATTATGTCGGGCGACGTACAGCCACGAAAGCGTAAGGATAAGCGCAAAAGACGTGGTAAGACATCAGCTCTGGCTGGCATATTCGCATCAAATTGAAAACTGAAATGTTTTCTAGTGTAGCTGTCCATTTCTTTTATTAGAATAATAATATTGTCGAGCGCCTTTAAAAATAACTTTGCCCTATTATATAAAATTATACATTGCTCTGTGCCGCCTGTGTCGCTATGCGTGTGCCAAGCAAACTATATAAATATATATATAGAGAGACAGATATATATATATATAAATTTATGATTTCTAAATGTTGCTACAAATAAAATATATTTAAATATATAATATTTTTAAAATTCTTGTTGGGCCCATGTGACAGCGGGTTCAAAAAATTCATTTGTCTCTAATAAACCAAATCAGAATTTGTATTTTTTTTTTTTTTTCGAAAAAAAATCTGCTTGTGTTTATTTAAAGCCTGAGCAGATGTTAGATAAAAGTGTTTTTATCTTCTGCTCAGGGCAGCATAAACAAAAGCCGGTAGTTCGCCTCGCTCGCTGCGCCTCGTTTGCTGCTCGCTGCTCAGTTTGCTGTCTTCAATCTTAAAGCTTCCATTTGGAATTACGGCATCAGGCACTAAGTATTATAGCCATGAGAATTTAATTGAAATTGTAATTATTATTAGCTGCAATGTTATTAATTTGAATGCGCCAAAGTCAAGAGACTTCCGTAATCAGACATTACATCGCCCCCACTACAAAGGAGAGTTTTTCCATCATATACACATAAATTTACACACACTCACACAGACACACAGAGAGAGACAAACACTATGGACTCTGTACAGTTTTTCTTTTATTTTCATTTCAATTTTCTTTTACTTTTTGGCCATTTGCCCAAGCGCATGACTTGCGCCTTCTTTGTTTTGCATCAACATCAAACAACAACAACAACAACAAAACCAAACAAACAACAACAACAACACCTACAAAAACAACTTAAACATATTTCCCATCATTATCTTTTTAAGAGAGTTTATGTTATCATTGTCTGTTTATATACCCTGTAAACGTTGATATATATGTGTGCGTAATGGGATAGTCTGATAATGTGTACAGAGTTTGTAACAAGTCACTCAAAACTATGTATATTAAATGTGCATATAAAAATAAAAATAAAATTGTATAGAAATAAAAATCGTATTTATTTTGTAGAATAGCAGTTGATCAGTTAATAGATTAAATTATTGAGTCAAAAATACAACCCATACAACTGTCTACAGGGTATACGCAAGTCGGCCATCTTCGACTATTCAGTTGCTTTAACAAGTGTAACTAACTTTTTGTCTAGATGATCGCAAATCGGAGGGCGATGTCACCATACTGCGCCAGTCCAGCTTTCAAGGTAGAGAGCTGCATACAATGCAGTCTATATATTATATACAGATCACATATCTTATGAGCCCAGCCAATGCAGCTTTGTAATTCCAATTTAGCATCTAGTATTAACTAACATTTCGTTGCTTGTACTAAAAACAAAAACAAAAACCTTCAACCCGACTGCAGTTAATCAACTGAATTCTAATCACATATGTGTGGGTGTTTGTGTATGTGTGTGCATTTGTGTGTATTCATTTGTTATCTAGATGACGACGACTCGTCTTCCCACGGCGTGCATATCACAAAGATGGGAAACGATGATGTGCACTTGCACGTGCAGCATCAACATGGAACTGGGGGGCACTGGTGTGCCAAGATTATATTCTTCTCCCTAATGGCTGTGCTGCTAGGACTGGTGGGTCTGATAATAATGGAAAATCGTGGCATAGAGGACTGTAAGTAAATAAATCAATGCATACATATATGATCATCATGATCATCAACAAATTATGACCACTTTGCAGTGGATACACCCCTGTCGGAGTCACGTTATTCGAATTATTTTGATGGCTGGGTGGAGGAGCATCGTGCGGAGGAGCACGATGAACACGATGAACATCTCTCACATGAAGCTGCACTGGATGAACATGATGATGAACACGATGATGAAGTAGAAGAGCCATACGAACAGCATTCTGGCGAAGAAGAGGAAACAGAGCAAGAACACGACGAAGACGCGAATGATGAAGATGACGAGGAAGAGGAAGAGAATACTGCTGCTGAAAATGTAACAGCTGAGGATGATGAAGAAAAGGATGAGGTAAAATATAGAAGAATCGCTAGCCAAATTAAAATATTCTATTTTTTTGTAATATAAAGTAAAACATAAATCTAATCAGATATTTATATATTTTAAATTAATTACAGGATGATGACATAGCAGAGTCAGCAGACCGAACTCAATACTTGGCCGATGATGCTGAAGAGGTAAAAACATCAATTAACAAATAAGAGTTTTACAATTCAAAGAGTCGATTTAGGAGGAAGAAGAAGCTGATGAGGAGGAGGAGGAGGAGGATGCAGATGGTGACATTGAAGAGTCCATTGAGCCAATCGCATCCAAGTCAAGAGCTCAGAGTGCGCCCGAAACAGTTGAAGAAGATGATGATAATATTGAGGAGGTAAATCACTTAGAGCTAAAATGAATAAATATACATGTATTAATGAAATATAAAATCTCTTAACAGGAAGAGGAGGAGGAGGATGAAGAGGAAGAGCAAGCGGAATCTGTTGAGCCAACAATTTCAAAATCTCAGGCTGCTGATGATGATGATGAGCAGGATAATGATGAGGTATATGCACATATATGATAATCATAATAAAAGAGCTGTTATTAAATAGATACTTCAACAGGATGCTGCGGAAGAGGAGGATGAAAAGCTTGAAGAATCTGCGGAGCCAGCAGCACAAAGTGTTCCTGATGATGATGATGACGATGAATTCGAGCAGGTTGGCATAAGATAACTAAGTTACCAACTGTGCAGCAGACTTAATTATTTTCATCACAGGCTGACAATGATGAAGATGAATTCGAATCCCTCGATCAAGATGTCGATACTCAGGCTGAGCAGCTAAAAGCCAAGGAAGCGAAAGATCAGGCAGCTGAAGAGAACATTGAGGCAGTTACAACCACATCCTGGCTGGGCTCACGTAAGTATCCAAGCGACATTTAGGCAGCTCCATTGAACGGTTTAGATGTACAGGTGGCTCCACTTTAAAAGAAAAACAGAAATATATTTTTAAAATTCAATCAAATTTCTATAGAACAAAAAAATTGTACAAGAAAGTGCAAAGCGAAAATTTATCTAGATATAAAAAATATATTCATATATTTTATTTATATTTACATTTTACTTTTTAAAGTTGAGTTAAAATTTGCGAAGAAAATTTGTTGTTTACTAAAAGAAACGTAAATCATTTTCCAGTTGCCGTTAAATTTGGCGTTGGCATTGCACTTGCCCTTGTTTCACGCCTTGTATTGATACGGAATAATCCAAATACAAGTGAGTTTTCCACATTTGTTGCTAAATGCCAAACAGTTGTTATCCAAGCAAAATGCATTTTGTTAACGTAACTCCTATATATCATCATATCTGCTGCTTACTTAAGAAACTGCTCTAAAAAAAGAAAACAAATCGAAATCGAAATCGAAATCTCGCAAACCTCGCAAAATATGATTATACATATATACATTACGTATTTATACATATGTATATTTGTAAATTAGAGGCCTGTGCTTACATAGATCAACAAAATTTAGGCTTACATGCTGAGTCTAATTCTTGTTGATCTATGTATTAGAAAAAAAAAAAGAAAAACTACTCTCAATGTTGTATGGAAACGTAATGTGAAACCAATTGCTAATCAATTGCCTTTCTTCTCATGTTGCTGTCAAATTATTTAACATGTACAGTGCTGCATGACTTGAAAACATGATGAACTGGCTCAATCTATCTACACTAACTATTTTAACTTAACAAAAACCAAAAATCTGATTCGATTAATGAATATGAAACAAAATTTTTGCACTTTCTTCATTTGTTGTTAAAATTAATTTATAATTTCCATTGTTAGGCTTAAGCTTAATTGCAATTTTTTGTTGTTTTTTATTGTAGTCAAAGCTTTGTTAAAACTCTTAAACAATATGCGCCAATGTATGTATGTAAACTTAATATTGTATGGCTTTGTTGTTAATGCCTGAAGACTCTCTATATCAATATCCACACCTATATATACCATATAAACTAATTTCTTAGCCGATGAGCAGCAGCCGACGCCGGAGATTCAAATGAGACGCCGCTTGACCATTGCCACAGCCGAGGATCATATACCCGATGATGATACGGAGGAGCTGCCGCCGTTAGATGATGGTTGACATAACACACTATATAGATACCAGATTTATATCTTAACTTCGGTCTGGCCGAAGTTGTTTCCAAATAATTTCAAGTCAAATTCCACTTGAAGCTATTTAGAACTTTATTCGTTTAGGCCATTTTCTTGGGTTATTTCATATTTTAATACTTGCCCTATTTCCACTAAAGAGGCGTATTCGGAGGAAGAAATCGAGATCGAGGAGGAAATCGAGGTAGAGACCAGCGATATAGAGGAGTGCGATGATAATGTTGCTCTAACAGCCAGATATGTGCCGGAGACTTTCGAGCAGCTGAGTGCCATGTTCCGGCCCAAAACGGAGTCGCAGCCAAGCGAGAAGGAGTCAGAGAAAGAGCCGGAGCCGCAACCGAAACCGGAGGTGGAAGCAGAGCGAGAACCGGAAACTGAACCAGAAGCCGAAGGAACAGCTGCCTCAGATATTTATGTGGAATACGAGGATGGAGACATTGAGGATTACGAACACGACGACAGCGAGGATGATGATGAATTGATCAGCGATGAGGAGGAGGATGAAATCTCCGATGTGGATGATGCTGACCTAATGAGCCGCTTGGAGGCCAAATATGGCCGATTGCCAGCCAAGGAATACGAAAGCAATCCTGATTCCGACGATCCGTCCTGGACACGTAATTACTAAATGTACAATTTACACCAAAAAAGAAAAACAAATCGAATCAGTCTACAAAGCAAATCTACAACCAGTTCATCCCACGCATTGATAAATTTGACATATATATATGTATTTATATATATATCAGACATATAGACACGTATTATAATCTCTAAAGTTAATTCGTTCATGGCATACGTTAATCTAATCATAGTAAGTCATAGTCTATAATCGAATTGCTAATCTTACGTCTAAGGTGGAGCCCAACACACAAATTAACCGTTCAGTGGTGTCTTTAATCTTAAGACTTTCTCCTTCTGCCATTATTGTGCATTTCAATTAAACTTACAAATATTTTTCTTATCAGAAATTAAACCTAAAGAACCAACTGGAGCCAAGTTTGTTGAGGACGAGCTATTCGAGCAAGAGCTGCGCCGAGCTCAAGCCGAAATGATCAATGAGGTGAGTGCGACATCTAAATTTTCGCTGACAGCAATGTTAATCTCTCTAAAACTTTTTCTAAAACTAGCTCAACAATCATTAAAAAGAAAACACACCTTAAACAAAAGTCCTTTCATAGCTTTAATTAATGTTCGCTTTTTTAGTTCATGTGTTTAGTTTTTCAGTTTATTTAACTGTTTATTTATTTATGTTTTTTTTTTTTTTTTTTTGGGAAATTTTAGAAAATGAAATTTAAGTGCCGAGTTAAAGAGAAATCGAATAGACAACCAATATTATTATAGAGGTTTTTGGTTAGGAAAATAAAAACATTTTTGCCGTAGGGCTTAAATTTCAGTTCTGCTGTAGGTGCTAGACACACCCACCTAAAGCTTACAGCCCCTGATAGCGAGCCCTAAAGCAAATCTGTTTTTGACCAAAAAATTACAAGACATTTTGAAGTTTTGAGATTGAATTTATTTATAAATATTTAACATTTTTAATTTAAAATTAAGAAGTCTTTGAGCTTTATACAATTTTATTTATTCGTTCATAGTTATAAACGAATTTTAACAATTCTTAACTAACCCAATAGTGCCTATCGAATGTAAGACATGTTTACAGGGTATTTGCTAGTCGACTCGTTTACGTTTCTTGTTACCTGAAATGCTTTTCTCCTTTTGTTTGCTAATTCTCGCTTTCTTTGCATGTTTTTTAACAAAAATAAATATATAAATGCCAACGCCTAACACCCAGAACCATGCGAATGCTCTGCGCGCCTTTAACACGCTCACACACACATACGCACACAAGCCGTTGGCTCATTTAAGGCGGGCGCAGGCGCTGGAACGGATCGCCGAGCTGCGCCGCAGCAATCAGCTGCTTATGGACGCCATTGAGTCCTATAAGCGTTATTTGGCTTTCGATGAATCGATAACAAATATCGACTATCGCACAGCTGGCGAACGTTGCATAGAGCATATGCGGTTTCTGGGTGAGTAACTGTTACAGTTTCACATTCAAATTTAGATTCTACAGAGATTAACTGTTCCCAGGTCAGACACAGCCGGCGGTTGCCATACACGAGCTGCTCATCGAGCGTTATCCGGATGAGGTGCAGCTGCGCAATCAGCTATCGCTTACCTATCTAATGTCCAATAAGTGGGTGTGTGACGAACTTTACAAGCTGCTTGCAGAGTGTTTAACAAAAAATCTCTTTACAGTTTGCTTAAGCTGCAGCAGGTCTCGCGCGATACGCTCAAGCGCTGGCCACGGGATCCCTTGGCGCAGCTGCACTTTGGCCTGACGCTCAAACAGGTCGACGGCGACTATGCCCAGGCATTGCCCTATTTACAGCGAGCCATAGATTCGGAGGCGGCGGGCACTCAGGAGCCGTACTTCTATCTAGCGCTGGGCGAGACGCTGCAGCGTCTAGGCAAACAGGCCGAGGCCTTGCAGCTATATGAGCGCGGCGTGAAGAGGGGATACTTTCCCAGCGTCTATCAGCGTTCGCTCTACAATGTGCCGCGGCTGCGTGCGAAACCCTTTTGGCAAATTACAGACACTGATCAGGCCAAGGAGCTGAAGCAGCTGCAGCAGAGCTGGCGTTCCATACGCAACGAGGCGCTGGCGTTGCTCAATGTCGAAGGCAATTTTCAGCTGGAGGCGGAGCAGTTGCGCGACACGGGCAACTGGCAGCAGTTCGAGCTTTTTGCCCGCGGACAGCGGCTACATCGCAACTGCCAGCGGGCGCCCATCACGTGTGCGCTGCTCGAGAAACTGCCAGCTGCCAGCGGCTGTCGTCGTGGCCAGATCAAGTTCAGCGCTATGCAGGCACAGACTCATGTCTGGCCACACTGCGGACCCACCAATTGCCGACTGCGTGCGCACCTCACGCTGGTGGCGCCGGAGCCACACCTAACTAGCCTTCGGGTGGCCGAGCAAGAGCGGTGAGATTGACATTGATATACTCTGTAATCATGTGCATCATACTACTATGCAATTTACAGGGTATTTATCTGCTGTACATTAATATTCTCTCTCTTTCTTTTGATAGCACCTGGCATGAGGGCGATTTGTTCATCTTCGATGACAGCTTCGAGCACGAAGTCTGGCACAATGGCACGCAGCTACGTTTGGTGCTGATCCTGGACCTCTGGCATCCCGACTTAACTGCCCAGCAGCGACGCGAGCTGACGCCCATTTAACCACCAACGCTTAACTGCTAACTCTTGTTAATATTTTTAACCAAAAGCAACCAAAGTCAATGCACGTTCACTCACTCTAGTTATTTTGTTACATACTTCACATAGATCTATTTGTATATCTTATCTGATAAGTTTACTTTGTATGAATGCGCGTTTAGCTGTAAAACACAAATGTCTAAGGTTTAAGTCTAAAACTGAATGGCTGCTTGGTTGGCAGCGTCTCTTTACTGTTAAGCTAAAAACAATTTATAAAATACAGTAAAGTTCTCTGATTGAAAAAAAAACGATGTTTTTTATTTTTATACGCTGGGGATATAAATTCTATAGTAAAAAAGCTATTTTTAGATCATTAATATTAAATGGACTATAAACATTAACTATTGAATTATTTTTTAAAATATATTATTAAGATAAGAACTATATTAAACTGAAAAATCCCTTGACTGGAGTTTGCTTTGCTAAAGTTAATAAATATATATATAATATAAATTTAATAATATATCATCATACATAAAATTCAAGTTAAATATAGCATTCCTCATAAATTGTTCGTGCGCTTTGGGTAACGCCCCTGGGGCGCCTGAACATGCAAAGCTCGAATCGAAAAGGTATATAAAAGCAAGCAACTATTAGAATATTTTGATGTCTTCATTATCTAGTTAATCGAGATGGCTAAAACTAATCTATGTGGCGCTCTCTGTTTAGTCCTGCTCTCAGCTATTGGCTACGTTCAAGCGGATTTGGATGTGTGCCTCGAGGATTTGGGCTGCCTGCATGGAACACTGATGCCTGATTCCAGGCAGGAGCAGTTTGAAGCTTTTATGGGAATACCATTCGCCAAGCCGCCGATCGGAGAGCTACGCTTTAAGGTGAACTAGTTCAGGGTGTAAGAGCTCACGGTAAAGTTGGTTATCCTTGTAGAATCCTGTTGCAGCAGGAGCCTGGACAGGTATCCTGGATGCCAGCGCGCCACGCAGCCATTGCCTGCAAAAGAATTACTTTATGTCTGGTTGGCTGGTCTCTGGAGAGGAGGATTGCCTCTATTTGAATGTCTATCGACCTGTAAGTAGAATCAGTTATTATAGAGCATAAGCAGCTTATTCTGTTTGGGTGCTTGCAGCAAGGCAATGCAGGACCTTTGCCTGTTATGGTCTACTTCCACTTTGGCGGGTTTTTCATTGGCTCCGCAAGTCCCTTGGCCATCGGGCCGGAGTTTCTCATGGACACCCAACAGGTCGTTCTGGTTACAGTCAGCTATCGATTGGGTCCATTTGGTATTAGAGGAAATCAAATAGGAGTTGGTAACTATTTAATCATAATATTCCTTACATAGGCTTCCTGAGCACTGGAGATGCTCACATGTCTGGGAATTTCGGATTAAAGGATCAACGCTTGGCTCTGCAATGGGTGCAGCGACACATTTCGGCCTTCGGCGGCAACCCGAATCTGGTGACCCTCTTTGGCCACAGCGCAGGTGGAATATCCTCGCACCTGCACATGCTGAGCCCCAGCTCAAATGGTGAGTCGATCTCGCAGGAATTTTTACCTTTATCTGACTCTCCCATCCCGCAGGACTCTTTCACCGCGCCATGTCCTTGAGCGGCACGGTGATGATAGTGGCTACACTGCCAGACAATCCACTTGAACAGGCTCGGCAGCTGGCGGAACGATTGGGCGTGGCTGACGCCAAAACCTTAGACACCCAGGCGTTGGCCACAGCTCTCCGTGCAATGGATGCCAACGATTTACTGAAAGCCAGCGATGTGTTAAAGCAATGGAATAAATTACCTCAAATTAACTACGGCGTGGTTGTGGAACAGCCAGATGCGCCCGAGCCCTTCATTACCGAGTATCCCATTACGGCCCACCAGGCCGGTCCCATCAACCAGGTGCCCTGGCTACTGAGCACCACCTCACGCGTAGGCGAGGGCGCATTCTTCCTCATGGAAATCTATACGACTCCGCAGCTCCTGAAGGAGTTCAATGAAAATTTCCTGGAGCTATTTGGGCTGATGCTGTATCTGCCCAAGGGCTACGGCAAGGAAACCGTTCAAGAGATCCTGGAAATCTATGGAGTGAAGGAAATGCAACTGAATGAGAACACATTGGTGGATATAGCCGGTATTCTGGGTGACTTTATGTTTAATTACCCAGTCTATGTGTGCGCCGCCAGCTACACGGAATATTCCAAGGAGCCGGTTTCCATTTATAGCTTTGAGTACACCAGCAATAACACGTTTGCCGCGATACTTGGGGGCGGACTTGTTAAAGAGGAGCTGGGCGCATGTCACATGGATGACGGTGTACACACTCTGAAAATGTCGACATTGTTTCCTGACTTTCCACAGGATTCCGAAAATGCAAAGGTGGCCAAGCGTATGACTTCCTTATTGGTGGAGTTTGCCAAGAATGGGTGGGTGGAGCGGAAATTCTGAATAATTCCTATCTGGATAATAATTGTATATATTATATTTCAGTGTTCTCCCTGATGACACCCATTTGCAGCCCTGTAAATCTGAAGAGTTTAAGGATGATGAGATATGCAACTATTTTGTCATGGGAAAATTAGATGGGGCCTATCATGAGGCAGTTGAAAAACGCGTAGATAAGCGCGCATTGGCTCTGTGGAAGAAGCTCTACTTATAGACAAAATATCAAAACATATAAATACCATTATAATATTAAAATAGTCACTATTAGAATAGTAATTAGTAATTACTAAATCAAATTTCGATTGTCATTCTACAACTAGTAAAAATAAATAGCAAAATCGAGCTAAAAAGCCTCTAAGCCTTATTTTTCCCTATGGGAATCGCGGAGTAGAGCGCTGGGCAATTTATTGCAGCGTCTGAGCAGGAATCAGAGAAGTGAGGTTACTTCATACAGCTGGCCTATATCGACTATTTTTATATTATTATACCCTAAGCTATAGTTACACAATTACTCTGCATGAATTATATTGGAAATATGTAATTTATTAAAAGTTAACAATAAATCAACAATGAACATTGAATGAACTTATTTAATAGCATGCCATTATTTCCAAATATATATTATATATTTAATTTGCATTTATAGAAATGTTAAGTCAAGAATAGTATTCAAATGGCAATCGGGTTTTAATATATTTGATAGTAGGTTGTGTTAGTTTTACTAAACGCTTGTTGTTACAGTTGATAGAACTATAAGAAAATTGTTTTTGTTTTTTTTTTTTTTTTTAATTTTTTTAATTTAATTATTTTTAGTTAAAAATTAACATGACTAATTTAGATTATCTGAGAACTTACATATACTTATACCCCTTGTTATCCCTTTATAAAGATATATTTATTTCAATAATTAAAATTTGATTGTTAACTATTGTTATAATAATTTTAAAAATTTTATAAATAAATAATTAGATAAAGAAATATACAATAATTCATTTTTGTATTGGGGAAATGGAAATCACCTGCAAAGCTGATTAACAAATCGCAACCACAATTTAACAAATATATAATTTCATTTGAAATTGAATAGGATTGTATTTGCTAAACTTTTGGACACGCCCCTTGGGATGTGAACATGCAAATAGTTCGAATCGAAAAACTATATAAAAGCACGCAGCGCTTAGAGCATTTAATGTCTTCATTATAACGCGATTCGAGATGGCTAAGACTATTCTCTATTTGATATTACTTTTAACTATTGGCTACAGAGCTCAAGCGGATTTGGATGTGTGCCTCGAGGATTTGGGTTGCCTGCATGGCACCTTGATGCCGGACTCCAGGCAGGAGCAGTTTGAAGCCTTTATGGGAATCCCGTTTGCCAAGCCGCCGATAGAAGAGCTACGCTTTAAGGTGAACTAGTTCAGGGTGTAAGAACTAACGGTGAAATTGGTTATCCTTGTAGAATCCTGTAGCGGCGGGTGCCTGGACGGGTGTCCTGGATGCCAGCGCGCCACGCAGCCATTGTCTGCAAAAGTGTTATTTCATGCCAGGTTGGCCCATCTCTGGAGAGGAGGATTGCCTCTATTTGAATATCTATCGACCTGTAAGTGGAATTAGGCTAAAGTTCTTCAAACAATTTCTATTTGGCTGCTTGCAGCAAGGCAAAGCAGGTCCTTTGCCTGTTATGGTCTACATCCACTCGGGTGGCTATCTCTGTGGCTCCGCTTGCCCCTTGGCCAGCGGACCGGAGTTTCTGATGGACACTCAACAGGTCGTTCTGGTTACAGTCAGCTATCGATTGGGTCCATTTGGTATTAGAGCAAATCAAATAGGAATTGGTAACTTTTTAATCATATTGTTCCTTACATAGGCTTCCTGAGCACTGGAGATGCTCACATGACTGGAAATTTCGGATTAAAGGATCAACGCTTGGCTCTGCAATGGGTGCAGCGGCACATCTCCGCCTTCGGCGGCAACCCGAATCCGGTGACCATCTTTGGGCACAGCGCGGGTGGAGTATCCACGCACCTGCTCATGCTAAGCCCCAGCTCGAATGGTGAGTCGATCTCGCAGGAACTTTAACCAGCTGACTGTTCCTCCTGCAGGACTCTTCCACCGCGCAATGTCCTTGAGCGGTACAGCGATGCTGGGCACTACAATGGTATACAACCCACTTGAGCAGGCTCAACAGCTGGCGGAACGTGTGGGCGTGGCTGATGCCAAGTCCCTTGACACGCAGGCATTGGCTGCAGCTCTCCGTGCATCGGATGCCAACGATTTGCTGGAGGCCGGCAATGTCTTTAAGCGCTGGGATAGCGTACCCATAATCAATTATGCTGCAGTTGTGGAACAGCCAGATGCACCTGAGCCCTTTATAACTGAGCATCCCATTCCGGCACATATGGCCGGACGCATCAACCAGGTGCCCTGGCTGCTAAGCAGCACCTCACGCGTTGGCGAGGGATCCTTGTTTATCATGCACATCTATATGAATCCGCAGCTCCTGAAGGAGTTCAATGAGAACTTCTTGGAGCTCTTCGGTTTGATGATGTATCTACCCAAAGGCCACACCAAGGAAACTGTGCAGGATATCCTGGAAATGTACGGCGTAAAGGAAATGCAACTGAATGAGAATACATTGGTGGATCTATGCGGTATTTTGGGTGACTTCTTATTCACCTATCCGCTCTATGTGTCAGCCTCCAGCTACGCGGAATATGCTCAGCAGCCAGTTTCGATCTATAGCTTTGAGTTTACCAGCAAAGTAACTTACGGCGCTTTGTTTACGGGCGGAGTAGTTTTTGAGCAGTTGGGCGCATCTCACATGGATGATGCCATACACACAATACGAATGCCCATATTCTTTCCAGATTTTCCAAAGGGCTCCGAAAATGATATGGTGGCCAAGCGCTTGACTTCCTTGTTGGTGGAGTTCGCCTGGAATGGGTAGGTTGAGCTAAAATTCTTAAGATCTTTGTGGTAGTCTTTCAATCTATATTTGTCTCCATATCGATGTATATGTTTATGTGATTTTCCATTATTCGTTATCCATTATCCAAATCTACATTTATCTGCTTATATAATTTCAGCACTCTCCCTGATGACACTCAGTTGCAGCCCTGCAAATCTGAGGACTTTACCGCTGATGAAATGTGTAACTATCTCCGCCTGGGGCAATCGAATGGGGCGTATCAAGAGACAGTTGAGAAACGTGTGGATATGCGTACATTGGCTATGTGGAAGAAGCTATACTTGTAGAAGAAATCTTAAAGCATATGAACAATATTTCACCATTAGAATAGTCATAGGTAAAGCTAAAAATTTATTGCACCTTTGTCATTCTATAGCCAAAAAATAAGTTCGTAAAACTCTAAACATGACTTGACTTAATGAGAATCGTAGAGAAGGACATTGGAAAGGTTAATAACTAATAACAGCAATAGCTTCTTCTCTAAAATCCCCAAGTTGGACGCTCATAAAAAAAAACTAGCTTTCAATATATCTGCTGTACAATCGTCATACACAGTTGTATTAATATTACCTATATTCTTACCGTCCAGGGTATTCATTGCTTTACATGGTATCTAGAGATAATAAATATATTCACGTCAATGAATAGTTGTATATATATGTGCATATATGCAATGATAATGTGTCGCCCGCTCCAAACGAATATCTTAAGGAATTTGTCTCTGAAACTGTATCTGAAGCAGAAGCAGAAACTGTATCTGAAGCTGAAGCTCAAGCTGAGGCTGAGACTGAGACTGCAGCTGCGTTGACCTATTTTGCACTCGAACTCATTCTCAGTGCAGACGAAGGTCAAATGAATTTACATATTGTCCAACTATAGGACGCAACAATAAAACTAACTATATATCCGTGCTCAATCACAATGGAAAGTATGTTCCACGCATGCGGCGACAGTGCTGTGCATGCAAATAGAGCTACTTGTGCGATTAAGATTTATGTTGGAATATAATTGAGTGTATTCAAAAGTCGTAAACATCGTAATGATGTATTATTATTAAAGATTAGCTAATTATATGAAGAATAAAGAAATTAAGATAGAAAGAGTATTACCCAAAAAAGAGAGGGTAGTTTATATGCCCACCATAGCATAGCATACCCTATGTAGCTCTATTCTTCTTTCTGGTTGGCTAATCACGCATGTGATTTATAATTATGAATAATACAATTATCACCATAATAATTAAATAATTTGAGAGCAACATCAAAAAAAAAATTGTAAACAACAGAGAAACTGGATGTATGTACACATTAGTGTGGACATGGGTGTATCATGCATATGTAACATATGTAAGTGAAGAGATTTTTGTTCATTTGAGTCTGTTACAAAAGGGAAAGATGAAACTTTTCGCCACAATCGTGTAAAGAACTGAAGAGCCACAGAGCATGGGCAACGACGTCTTATCAGAATAACCCAAATCAAAGAGAATGAAGCGAGCGGGAGAGAGAGAGAGAGAGAGAAGGAGACAGCAACAGGGAGTGGAGACTCGCAGCAGGATAAAAGTGAAAGTGAAACGCCGAGACGATCGTAGTTGTGCTTGCAACCTCTCTGGCTGTGGTTGCGGTTGGAGATAGAGGCTGCTAGGCTGAACGGTGCTCGGAGCAGGTATGGGTTGACTTGATTAAGCATACGCCCCGTGTGCTGTGCGCCCGTTGAATAAATTTCAATTGAATATCAAAGCACAGCAACGGCAAAAAAAAAAAACAACTTTGGCTTCACATATTTCATGTGAGCCACCGTTGCTAAAAGCGTGACAAACACACACAAACACACACACACACACATACACACATACACATACACAGAGAGAACGCAAAGTTTTTCTTATTTATTCATATATATATTCATTTATATTTTCTTGCATAAAACTGAATGCTTTAGCTTACAAAGCCGTCAGATAAATTTCGTACGCTGCCGTGCTAGAAGCTCGTGCTTAGACGCTTCAGTTAGTTACGATCCGAATCGAACTACATCTAGGGTCGATCGCATATTGAGCTGAGCGCGCAATCTGGTAAGTGGCCAGAGCCTTCGATTCGTGGGAATAACAATTTCGTACCGTTGACATCATCGGTAAAAAAGAAGCTCTTATTTATTTATTTTATTTGTATTTTATCTTATTCTTCTTCTTTTTTTTCTTTCTTTTTTTTTGGGCCATAAACAAATGACTACATCATTTAAATGAGCTATGCATAAAATTAATTAATGTGTCTCGATTTCTTTCGCAGACAAACGATAACTAACCATCTCGGATCAGACATGATTCATGCGGGATTTACTTTACCTTTATGGTCGATGCTGCTGCTGCTGCTGCTGCTCGGCTTTGGCCAATCGACGCCATCAATTGCTGTCGCCCAGAAGGCCTTGATTGTCTGCGGCGGCAGCTTGGGCTGCCTCAAAGGCATCTACATGACGGGCTATCAGATCAAGCGCTTCGAGGCATTTCTTGGCATTCCCTACGCCCTGCCACCAGTCGGCAAACTGCGCTTCAGCGTGAGTAAATCCTTGACTAAGCTAATTGCTGCTGACCTTTAACTTTCTTTGAATTGATCTTCTTTTTAATTTCCCAAAATGTTTTGAGCTCATTGAACTCTTGAAGCTGCTCAGACTCCTTAAGTTAGTTTAAGCTCTTTCCTAGTTTCCTAGATTTCTTGAAGTCTTTAAGGAGCTAAGTCTCCATAAGCCACTTTAAGTTTTCCAGGTTCCTTGAACTCTTTATGTAGTTTAGTCTCTATAAGTAGCTTGGTCTCCTAAGACTGTCTAGCCTCCTATAAGTTTTTAAACTCTTTTATGAAACTCTTTGAAACCCAGCATAACTCATTGAGCTTCTTGAGGCTTTCGAGTTGTTCATACTTATATAGCTCCTTAAATTGCTAAAGTTCTGTCTAAGACTTCTAAGACTTACTTTTAACTGCTTTTAAATTCTGCAGCTCTTTAAGTCCACAATCTTATGGATCTCTTAGAGGTATATTAAACTTCTTAATTGGCTTGAGGTTCATTAAGCTCCAAGAACTTTTTATATCGAGCAGCACCTTAAATGGTTTCTTCATACATTTTTGTACACATCTTAAGCTCCACAATTGGAAACTCGAAGACTCTCAGTATTCCTTGACTTGCTATAACTTTCTCAAATATTTGATGTCTTAAAAAATGGAGACTCTTCTTGTGTTTACTAATTGTGGAAGCTGCTCGACTTCTCCATATCCCTAAAAATGCACAAATCGAAACTTCATAGATGCCTAAAAAGTTACTTAAGCTCCTTAAATATTTTAATATCATTTCCTGAACTGTTGAACTTCTTAAACTCTTAAGCTTTTTGATCTCTTTAAGTCAATCACCTTAAGCCCTTCCCACTTTCTAGGCCTCAAGTGTTAAAATTCATTAGACTGTCCCAGATTGCAGCATTTCCTTAATCTGGCTTAAGCACCTCTTCAAACTCCTTTTGTCCGCCGTCTAATCTTATCCTCCACTTCTCTGCAGAATCCCAAAGTGATGCCCAAGCTGCGTGGCATTTACAATGCAAGCGTAGCCAAGCCGGACTGCATACAGAAGAACTATCTATTGCCCACGCCGCTTATCTACGGCGAGGAGGATTGCCTGTACCTGAATGTGTATAGGCCAGAGGTAAGTCGGGGTTCATCCATTTCATCTTCCTCAATCCGGCACTCGCCCAACGAACTGTCACAGCGTCGTTCCAGGCAGCCGTTGCCTGTCATGGTCTACATACATGGCGGTGGATTCTTTAGCGGCTCTGCTGGGCCGCAGCTGACTGGACCCGAGTACTTCATGGACACGGGCGAGGTGATCCTAGTGAGCATGGCCTATCGCCTGGGCGCATTGGGTGAGCCAAAGATAGATAGAGTCTAAGAGTAAATGCAAGCTTCAGTCAAACTTCGATTCTCTGCAGGATTTCTGTCCACGCAGGATTCGGCTGTGCCAGGCAATTTCGGGCTCAAGGATCAGCAGCTGGCGCTGCGCTGGGTGCAGCGGCACATCAAATTCTTTGGTGGAGATCCGCGTCGTGTGACCATCTTTGGCCAGAGCGCGGGGGGCGTGGCCACGCACCTGCACATGCTGAGCAGCAGATCGGCGGGCCTCTTCCAGCAGGTGATCAGCATGAGCGGCACGGCCAATGTGCCCTTTGCCATCGAGCAGGAGCCACTGCAGCAGGCACGTCGCACCGCCGAGCTATGCCAGGTGGAGAACGCCCAGAACCTGAGCACACCCAAGTTGGCGCGCGCCCTGCGAGCCGTGGATGTGCAAACTCTGCTCAATGCCGGCGATGGTCTGAAATTCTGGAATGTCGATCACATGTCCAACTATCGCCCGGTGGTGGAGCCCAGCTCCGAGGACGCCTTCCTCGCCGTCCACCCGAAGCAGCTGCTGAGCGAGGGCAGCTACCAGCAAGTGCCCTGGCTGCTGGGCACCGTGCCCCAGGAGGGCGCCGTCCGGGTGGTCAATATAATGGAGAACGTGACGCTGCGCCAGGACTTCAATGCCCGTTTCGATGAGCTGCTCCAGGAGCTGCTCGAGCTGCCCAAGGAGTTCAGCGCGGAGCAGCTGGCGCAGACCATGCAGCTGGTTATCGAAAAGTACTTCCGGAACATACACGAACTGAACGAGCAGACGGTGCAGGGCTTCCTCGATGTAAGCGAACGAGGGGAAAATCGGGAATCTAAATCGAAAAGGGAAACTTCATTTTCATTCTCTTCCCTCGACAGCTCATCTCGGACCGGGGCTTCAAGCAGCCACTGTACAATGCCATCTGGCAGCACCTGAGCCCGGCTCACGCTAGCCAGCAGCCACTGTACCTGTACAGCTTCAACTACCAGGGTCCCCTCAGCTATGCCTCCGTCTTTACCAGCGCCAATGTCGGCCAGAAATACGGCGTCGTGCATTGCGACGATCTGATCTATCTCTTCCGCAGTCCCATGCTCTTTCCCGACTTTGAGCGCAACTCGACGGAGGCGCGCGTTGTCGAATCGCTCGTGGGCTACTTTGTGCACTTCGCCAAGTTCGGGTAGGTCTAGTCTATCTACCTAGCGCTATCTGTGTGGCGCCCCAGCTCAATAATGAATTGCTTTCATTAACAGCAAACCGAGAAATGCGGAAACTCTGATGCGATGCACGGAAAGCATTCTGGAGTCACGACCCGAAGGCATTTGCGATCATCACGTGTTCGACAATGCGCCCAACGATCCGAAACAATTCGAGGTGAACGTTTTACAAAATTTCCGCTCAACTAGCGCCAAGTTCTGGAATGATATACTAGGCGAGTCAAAGCGTTACTAAAACAAGAAGAGAGAGAGAGAGAGAGAGAGAGAGAGAGAGAGGAGAGAAAACACAAAACTTAATTTATTTAATTTAATAGAATATAAAATTATGCCAACAATTGTTGTTTTAAGATATAGAGTAGAACAGTCCAATATTTCTCTGAATATTTGGATTAATTAAATGGATTTTATGGAATTTCTGACAAATTGATTTCATGAATGATTAACTGATTTAACTGATTGAATGATTGACTGACTGACTGATGAAGTGACTCTTTGACTAACTGATTGATAGACTGCCCAGCTGATTGATTGATTGATGTATTGACTGACGGATGCATTAAATGATTGATCGATTGACTGATTGAGGGTCTTATCCGACAGCAGCTGATTGTAAATAATGAATTGATAGAGTCAAAAGTTTTCACTACCCAGATTGACTAGTAGATTGATTGATTGATTGACTGATAGGTAGGCCATTCCCATCAACCTGAAAAGCCAGAGCGAGTAACTAAATTAGGTAGCTTTACTTCGGTATAAAACGTCAGAGCAACCCCAGTGAGGGCTTTGCTTCTAGCACTAGGAATTTTTAGCCAATTACACACGCTACTTGTCAATGAGTTTTTTTCTTCTTCTTCTTCTTTTATGGCTGGCTGTCTAATTCAATGGGAATTTCATTAGACTGTTTGTAATATTTAGGTATGTGACTTGAAAGTGTGTCACACTGATAAGAGCGGACTCTCGGTCTATATATAGCGCTGCCCCTGACACGTGCCCACGTCTGGGGCTTTTATGGAAATTTATCGGCTACAATTGCATTAGCTGCTGCTATTCACTTCATATATCTGTAAATCGAAATAATATATATGTATTTGGATCAGTTCACTTTTTTTTGCCACTTTCGTTGTTGTTGTTGTTGTTGTTGTTGTTCTCCTTTATTCAAACGTCATATAATTATTGACTTGTGATTGATTAACATTCATTAGCATATTCGCGACGATCTCAAGCTGCGTCTGAGGCTTTCTTTCAACCGAAGCCGGATGATTGAATTGACGAATTGATTGAATTGATTGCTCAATTGATTCATTGCGAACCCCATTGGCTGGCTCGCCAGCCTCCAACACGTTGCAATGCACTACAACAAAGAGGGGGGCGTGCCACTGGAATAGACCCATTCAGGCGCTAAATGGCAATAAAAAAATAAATACAAAATATTATAAACTAAGGCGAAAAACGGGTCTCACATTGCGTATACGTCAACCGACACCTGCCGCCCATTAATACAAACATAGAGGAACCAGCTAGAGAGCGACTATTCAAGGCAAGTCGAAGCGGAAATACTCTGAGTCATACCAAAGTCTGCTAAAGTTCAGAGAAATCTTATATAGTTTTAATTAACTAATTGTGTTAAAATAATAATAAAAGTCAAGCGGACGGACGGACAAACGGCAGAGATTTTAGGCGAAAAGATAAAAACTTAGGGAGAAACTGATAAAAGGACAAACGGACGGTTGGATCAAGGGGTGAAAGTACCAACTGGACTGGGCTGGACTTCCAGCAGAAGGATGGATGGATAGACGGAAGGGATAGAAGGATTCAACGTAAGGATAGACGTACGGATAGATTAACAAACGGACATGAGGAGGTATCAACAGAACGAACAATCGAGCAACGAAAACATGGATAGACAGACGGCAGGATGGATAAACGGGCAGACGATTGGACAGAATGTCGGACGGACGGAAGGATGCTGGGATAGACAGAAGAAATATTAAACAAATGGAAAAACTGCTGAATCGAAAGAAGTGCAAAAAGGTAGATAGATAGAGAGGGAAATATATGGACAGACAAGGTACACAAGAAAGTCTAAGAAGACTCATAATTTTCAAATAATATCAAAACTTTCAATAAGAGTATAACGGTTAGCTCTAAACTGACATTTGAGTAGAGTACGAAGAAACTGTGATTGTTATTTATGCGCGTGAATTGTGATTTAATAAACAATTGAGTTTATTTATTGGCTCGACTATCTGAACTTTTTGCGAGCCGGCAACGATTGATGGCGCCAACGATTGGATTCCACTTGGCCGATCATATTATAATATTGGACCTGACCAGACGCGACTGGACTCCAGGTAGGGTATTTGTTTATTGTTGAAGCCATTCAAGTATTTGGCTCAAAGTTCAGTGGACTGTCTAGGCGTGTTGCACATGCAACGGTTCAGCGGTTCAGCAGTTCAGCGATTTGTGTCAACAATTATAATCAATAAAGCGAAAGTTCCGGAAGTCCTGTGAGTCCTTTGAGTCCAGCAACGACACTTGCTGTCATTAGTTGCCGTTGCGAGTGCGAGTTGACAAGTTCAGCATGAAATTGGCACGGAAAATAGTTTTGTGGATTTTGCCACTCTTCCTGCTGAGTTTCCTGCTGACCATTAGCGAGGCCTATTTGAACAATGTGCGTGTGGAGGAGATACCCTTTAAGCGAATGCAGCCGCGTGCAGCCAGCCTGAAGGGCAGACGTCCAGGTGGCATCCATCTGATCTCCAGCCTGGAGCATCAACGCACTTTTCTCCATCTGTTTCATGTGCCCTGTGAGTACAGTGAAGACTGGCTGGCTGCTGTGTCTCCCTTTTGATATCCATCTCTTTCAGATATCATTTGTTTCTATGCCGCCAAGGGGAAATGGCCCTATGTGCCAGGCTTCATGAAGGCGCGCGTGGATAATGCCGCCAAGAGTTTCTTTCATCAGAATGACAGTTTCATTAAGCAATTCTGCACCAAGTGGATACAGGTCAAGGAGTGTTTTCGGCCCATCTTTGGTAGGCCTATATCTAGCTAATTCAATCCAATTACTTAACCAACATTTTTAGATAAATCTAATGGAACGGAACTGGAATTGGAGGCACAGAAGCAGAAGGAAACTTGTAATTGTGAAAAGCTGGTAGCAACGGAACCGCCAGTGCCCGTTGTCTACTTTGATAAGAACTACATTGGAAATGTCAGTTCAGAGACCATTTTGACCACCATCGAGTTTCTTGAGAGTTTTTTGCCACCACCTACCAAAAAGCACAAGCGCAAGAATCGTGTGCGTGGGCGCATTGATGAAATGGATATTGAATGAGCATACTAAAAAACATTTTATAATAAATTAACCACTCACTTTATAGTTTAAATAAATAACACAATACTCATGAAAAAAAAACAATTTTAAAATTTAAAAATGCCGCCGATTATAAAAGACAGCGCTGCCACCTGGTCGGAGTTTAAATTCGATATATGTTAAGTAACAGAATATGTTATTACACGTAGGCGATGACTGTTAATAACAGTTCGTGATTCGTTAAGTTTTACGAAATGCCATCGGTTCGATAGTTGTTTAAGATTGTTGAACGTGTGCGGACGTACAGCGGGTGACTATTAGTAATAATTATAAATAATAGTAAAAAGAAGCACCGCAAATGCACACAGAATCAACACCGCATTCAATTAGTCAAAGTATAAAAGTTATAAATATAAAGGCTGAATAAGTGCCCAAGTTGAAAAAAAGAACAACTAATTTCTGTGCAAGAGTTGAAACGTAGCCAAAATATTTGAAGCGAGAGAGCGGCGGATAGAAATTTGCCACCAACACAATTTTTCTCATTCTTGCTTCCTCCAAATTCGTGCATCGCGTGTGTTTAACGCGGCATCGTTGAAGCGCGAGTGTGTGTGCTTGTATGTGCGCGCGTATTCAAGACAAAGAGAGAGAAAGAGATTGCAAAAATACAAAATTTTGTTGCTGCAAGTTTTTTGGTGCCGTGCATACTAAGGAAACTTTCGTTCAACGTGTGTGAGTGAGGGAGCGTGTGTATGTGCACGAGTGCAAGGCACGTGAATGTCGCTGAAAAACCAACAAGCCTATCAACCGCTACCATCTGCCGTAGCTGCCATGGACAATCCGGCGATGAGCAACAGTAGCAGCAGCAGCGGGAGCAATGATGACGTTGCCGAACTAGTTCAGAGCGGGTTACCTGCGACATACTCGTCACAACAGCTCGTTTCGTCCGACTCGGATTCTATGGAACGCCAGCATCTACGCGGAGCTAACATCGTACCTGAGCCCCGATCTAGACCGGGTATATCCCGTAAACAATGGTTTGCCGTATCGGTGCTATGCTTTGTTAATCTCATCAACTACATGGATCGATTCACAATTGCGGGTAAGTGCAATGGCATTGTCCAATTGGACTGTCCTATCAGAAAGTGACACATTCCAACGATAGAAGAAGCGTGACCCGCATGATGCGCTAATTGCTAGCTGCTACGTCACTTTCACCAGTTGGATGCCTAGAGCTCTCTTCCCATCTCGCTCTCTCTCTCTCTGTTTCTCTTTATTTACTTTGGAATTTTTCCTACTACTAACTGATAACATAAAGCATATACGATTAATTTGTTGTTGTTCCGTCACAAATGTAAACATACTAAAAACTCTGACGTATTTACCGAATTTAAGTGCTGTGCAGACAAACTAAGAGAAACAGTCGTCTGACTAATTCGTATTTACATTTGCTTGGTAGCGTAGAACCTGCGCTAATGGATTTTTCTTATCTGAATCAGATTTTTTGTATTCTCCTTGCACCTAGGAGCCAATTTGAATGGGTGCAAAGTAATCAGTCAGTCACTTCGTCGGTTGTTTCATACTATATAATCTAACACTTGTATGCGAAACGTAACGCCCGATATGGCGTGATGCAAATCAATCTTCAAAGCCATTTACAGCTGTCAAAAAGGTTAGAAATCTACAAGCAACAGAAATCCATTTGACGAGATTAGATATGCTAATGCTTTTCTTCTCACTTCAAAATTGTACTAAATAGAGTAAGTCTTGGGTATATCGGAACGGTTTTAGCAGTCTCGACGAGTTTAGTTTCAAGCTCTAGTTGTATTTATCAGCATACAGTTTCGATTTCCTTTAATAACTGTTTATTTCTGTTTTTATTGTCAATTCACAAGAATTTTCCATAGATTTGTTTAGTTTTCATTGTTTACAGCGACACTGAAATCAGGAGACGCAATGCAATCAATTGCATTTAACACTTATCATATATATAAATATAAATATAAATATATACATACGTATGTGTGCTCATATAACAGATGAGTGCTATTATTGTGGCGTGATTGTTATGTGAATCATTTGCTGTTTTACAATCGCCACAAGTAAGGGCAAAGCAGGAGTAAACTTGTTTAAAGCAACTGCAACAATGCAATAGCAGGGAACGACTAACAGTTAACGGCTATAGCAACGGCTAATCAGTGAGTTGCGTTGCTTATGTTAAAGTGCAAACCAGTTGTTAATTTACTCAAATGAACCAGCACAGCAGAGATCGCAACCCTTCTAAATGCCAATTAATTATTTAAATATATATACTTATATATTTGTATACTTATTTATTCGCATGTTTATTTTTTAGCTTGGCCTCTGAGTTGACTTTTGCAACATTTAACTACCGTTACGCATATACAATGAACTTGGACTCTTGAGCTCGATCAGCAGTTTTTTGTCATTGATAACATTATGAAAAGAAGGGCGCATAAGAAAGACAGCAAGCAGCTAAAGCTCATCGCTAGCACTGACATGAATGCTAATGTTATTTAACATGCATATTAATGTTAACGGCAACTCCAAGCTATACAGACATAGTTAACATAAACATGTGCAAATTTAACATCAGGACAAACTGTTAACTACCAAACTGCTTATCGCATGTCATGGAAAAACTCAATTCATAAGTTTGACAAAGCCTGTAATAAGCTACCAAATGCAAATATCGTACGATTCTTCTAATCAGTAATCAGGGTAGGGGAACTCATGACCAAACTGACAGGAAATGATATTTAAATACATATATGTATATGCTTACAATTGTATATATCATACATATAAATATATAAATTGGGCGATAAGTGTTATATGCGGGAAGAAACCCCTCAACAACGACAACAACACACTCGATATACGATTATTCGTCATTTATGCGCTTATTCATATTCACAATCACACGCATTCAGACATATCTCTTTTAAGTGTGGGCGTGGGCCAATTAGTTAACAATTTTCTCCATATTTGTGAATTCGTATTCACTTGATGGGCATTTTATATATTATATATTCATATATAAAAAGCAATCAATCGATAAGTCTAATGAGAATTTACTTTTCACTAGGAAATATTTTTAGATATTTTACTGCTCGAGTGACTATTGAAAATTTTTGCAAATATTTATCAAATGTTAATTGATTGATGTGGAAATTATTTCAGATATTTTTGGAATTTTTATTTGATTTGATTTGGAAAGAAATTTTGAACAGAAACCTAGATTTATACTTGAACATCTAGGTAAATATTTATAAAATGTTAACTTGTTGATGTGGAAAATAATTAAAGGCATTTATTTTTTAATTTTGTAAGAATTTACCAACATAAATCAATAAATATTCTACTAATCTGAATAATTATTCAGCAGTTTATAAGTAATTATAATAATTAAGAAAAATAGTAATCATATTTAAAAAATTTCATTTGCAATTAAATTTGCTAAATACTTAAAAATCGATTAATACTTTCGTTTATTTAAAAAAAATTAAATCTCGTTTTTCATACCGCAATTAGTGTTCTTATCAGTTTAACATTTGTTTCTTTTTTAACAGTGAACTAATTAACATGTTCTAAAAGCAAAAGTTTAGCTATAATTACGCCAAAGCAGCTGCTTAACATATTAAATTAATGTTAATGTAGAAGTTACTCCGGTTTACAGCCAACAGTTGCTTGGCCTGTTACGGCCATGTTAATGAACAAGTCTTAAAGCAATATCATTATAATTTCAACTTGGACATTTGGTTGTTGTTTTTGGCTACCTTGTCATAAATAATTGAATTGGATGCGCCTGCACTTGATAGCAGTGAAGCGATAAGCCTTATCAGTTATCAACTAATTAGGCATTATTGGTTCTATGAAAGGCCCTGTTATTGGTTGTGGGTGTGTGGGTGTAAATCAAATCAAATGAATTGCAGGTGAGGCACGTAGTTTGCACTCGTTGGCACGTGGTCAGAATCGATTTGAGCAATTTGTCAGTCAACAAAATTTGCTATATATATATGCACATATATACATACACTTTTAAATCTATTTCGAAATGCGATCGCGCCTTCATTAACATTATATTTAAGTGTTGGCCAAAATGTGCCACATTGCTTCAATGTGTTATATATAGCGCAATGTCTGGCATTTATCTAATAATGCATTATGCATTATTATTATTATTATTTTTATTATTGTAGTTGGCCGCTCAACGTGACCTCAAACAACAACTACAAAATGTTGAAATAAACCAAAAACAAAAAATTAAATGAAATGAAAATTTCTAACGCGATTCATCGCCTGATTTTCGGGTTTGTTGTTGTTCAAGTAATTCACATACCTAATTTTAACATTCATTCATACATTAAAAAAATAAAATATAAAATAAATAAATAATGAAACTGCTGATGTCAGCTGTTGTTGAAAACAATATACATTACATATATATATTTTTAAATTTATATACAAATATGTATATATATTTTCGAAAGCGTATATAAATATGTATATTCAAATGCATTGAACTTTGTTCTATATGTAAAACATTCATTTGGTATCTTTTGAAATGCCAATTTAAAGTAAAATATATACACTTATGCATATATAGATACATATATTTATGTATCTGTAAAACAGGCCACCACTGGCTGCTACGTAATTTCTTGGCCACTTTCCAATTCAAAAACCAACACCAAAAAAAATATATATATATATTTATATATAAAATAAAAGCAAAAATAATACCAAGTACAATAATTGTCAGCAGTTTCTTTGCATGCATTCGGCATTTTCTTTCGTTTCCTTTATTTATTTTTGGTATTATCTACTAAAAAGTTAGTCGCATGTTTAGCCAAATCGTTTATACTAGAAAATTACGTGATATTTTCTTTGTTCAAATTTCGTCTTTATATATATATATCTTTAACATTTTTTTGGTTAGCTGTATGTATATAAACATTTTGGGGCTTTATTCAAATCTCTTTTTGCATAACAATTTGTTGAATTTAGTTTTAACAAATTATTTGGTAAATTC